GTGAGTATCACTAGTTGCACGACGGACAAATAGCTAATGTTCTCGTAGCGTTTCTATTCTATTAGGTACATATGCCGAATATACAGAGTTCTGTCCCAGATGCTGAGATCGTTTCTATTCTATTAGCTCTCTCCGTGTCGTCCGCTCGCCTCGAATCACTATAAGTATATATATCATGCATATGCCAACAACGGCGAAGATTCATGCACCATGAGAAAACATGAGTTGCATGACATAATGCTTTCCCGGGAATCAAGTTCCGTCTGAATTGGTTCCAGCTTACGGCACCCCAGGCTCAAGTAGTCATACTACTTTGCTGTTTGCCTAGGAAAGCCAATTCAAACCTACTTACCATGGCTCTGCAACGCTTGCGACAGCTCTCTTCGCATCTGACGGGTACCCCAGCCACGGGCTTGACTGCTTTGGAGCAGAAACATCCAGATGATGTGGTCATAACAATGGCCATCCGTTCTCCATTGACCAAAGCGAAGAAGGGAGCTCTGAAAGACACGATGTGAGTGGTCTACACCGTTGCTGAGGATATCATACACATTTAACTTCTTTGGCAGGACGGACGAACTTTTGTTGGAGATGTTCAAGGTACATCCAGAATAATTCAATACATACATTCCATCATCACTGAGCAGGCCTTTTAGCATGCAATAGTTCAGTCTCGTGTCAATCCAAGTGCCGTTGGCGATATCTGTGTAGGCACAGTACTCACCCCTGATCCGGTTTATCATGCCAGAGAAGCGGCGTTGGCAGCGGGTTTTCCGGAATCCGTACCAATTCAAGTCGTCAACCGCTTTTGCTCCTCCGGTCTTATGGCAGCAACCGTCATCTCAAACGAAATCCGCTCTGGTCAGATCGAGATTGGACTTGCTGTTGGTGCTGAGTCCATGACCCAAAAGTATGTCAAGAAAATCGATTGTATCTTGCGAGGCTTAACTATGTAAGCCCTGACAAAGGTGCTCCTCCTCAGTCCGAGGCCCTTGGGGTAAATGCTGCTGCTAAGGACTGCCTTTATCCCATGGGTTGGACCAGCGAGAATGTCGCTCAAGATTTTGATATCTCGCGAGAAATTATGGATGAATACTCGGCGAAATCATATCAACGGGCCGAACACGCTGAGAAAGCCGGTTACTTTGCGAAGGAGATTGTTCCATTCACTGCTTATGAGAAAGATTCTATTACTGGTGAACGCAGGAAGATCGTAGTTACAAAGGACGATGGCATCCGTTACGGGACGACAAAAGAGGGACTTTTGAAGATTCGGTCGGCGTTCCCTCAGTGGGGGAAAGCGTGCACGACGGGTGGGAACGCAAGCCAAATCACTGATGGTGCGGCAGCAATCATGATGATGACTCGGCGCAAGGCGGAGGAGCTCGGGCTCAAAATTCTAGGCAAACATATCACTACTGTTGTTACAGGTGAGGTAAATATCCAGAATAAGCATTTACTTGCTAAAATTATCCGGAGGCTGCCCTCCTCGTGTGATGGGCATTGGCCCTGTGTTTGCCATCCCCATGGTTCTTCAAAACGCTGGTCTGAGCATAGAAGACGTTGACTTGTATGAAGTGAGTTTGACAACTTGTCAGGAGACGCATGCTCAATCACGGTACTTACAGATTAACGAAGCATTTGCTTCGCAGTACGTCTACTGCATCCGAGAGCTTGGTCTAAATCCAGAGAAAGTGAATGTAAACGGAGGTGCCATAGCTTTTGGTCACCCACTAGATGAGTCAAATCCATGCGTTGTATATTTGCTACATCAAGCTAATGTAAATTGCCTTGATCACGTTGCACCGGTGCGAGACAGATTGTCACAGGATTAAATGAGCTCCATCGGAGAAAAGGAAAAGTATGATATTCTACCTTGTTCGACTTCTCTATGTTTGACAATGCAATGCAGGTATTGGTCACTTCTATGTGTATTGGAACTGGAATGGGTGCAGCGGCGGTGTTCGTCCGGGAGATCTGATGATAGTATTTTTGTATTTACGTCAGCAAGTAGTTAGCAGCCGTAATGCCGTTGTCTAAATTTGTGGTCCGACGATCAGTTGTCTTCACCTTCCAACGTTCCAACGTCAACGTCAACGCTCGCTTCTTCGTCTTGTTAACGCCCACCTACAGTCTCTCTTTTATTCCTTCTTCAGCCTAACCTTTGGGCCAGTTTTGCACCAATGGCCGCAAATTATGATGCACTGGGTAGTCAGACCAGAGGTTCACCATACGGGTCTGGAGACCCATACTACAACGAGTCATCAGGGTACATTACACCTGCTCGACCGCCCAAAAAAACAATCAGTAAATGGGTGAAGTTTGGTATACCCGTCGCTGTCGTTGTTATAGTTGCCGCAGTTTTGGGTGGCGTTTTGGGCAGTCGCTCAAGCAAGAACGCTTCAGCAAACTCGGCGGCGGCGGCTAGCGCTGCTGCTACCTCGGCTATCAGTGCGAAGAATGATATCGGTCGTTTCGCTACAGCCACAGACAGCCAGTACTTGGTGCCCATATACCCAATGACTGTGAGTCCTGTTTACTGTCTGCATCTTCCTCGAGGTGTTGATTTCTTAAATTCCGCAGACTAACACCGCTGCATTTACTACTCCTACATTCGTCTCCACCACCAACACCAATCTTGCCTGGCCGCAAGATCCTTTCCAACCATCCAATCCCAGTCCAACCCAAGTTCGTTCTGACAGGCCTCGTCTCATTGCTCCTGCATACATGTGGGACTCCCTTCCCACCCTCATCCAAAATGATCCCTATCTTTCCGGTTGGAACGACACTATTTTCAGCAACGCAACACAGTACATGGCCCTGCCTCCCGTCGCATATTTCTTGGATGGCGGTAATGGTATTTTAGATCCTGCTCGTGAGATCAAACAACGTGTCAAGGCATTCTCTTACGCATATCGCTTAACCAATGACACGAAGTGGCTGGATCGCACCTATGTCGAGTTGCAGGTATGTTTCTTGCCCTTTTTTGATGTAGCTTGATGTCTGATGCCTCGCGACTATAGAATGCAGCTGGTAATCTGACTGGCGGTTGGGGTCCTGATAATTCCACGAAATGGAACCCAACCCACTTCCTCGACACTGCTGAGCTCACTGCAGCCTATGCTATCGCTTATGACTGGCTGTATGATGCGTGGACACTTCCTCAGAGAAGCTCGATCATGACCACTATGATCACGTACGGGCTAAATCTTGGGGTTACGGCTTACAGCAACAACGACCCGGCTGCCTACGGCTGGTGGAACACCAACACAGAGGGCAACTGGAACTGCGTTTGTAACAACGGTCTTACCATGGGTGCACTTTCCATCCTCGGGGATGACACCACGGGCATCGCTGCACAACTTCTTGCCTTGACCATCCCCAATGCCCTCCAAAACTGTGCTCTGGCTCCTTCGAGCGACGGCACATGGTCTGAGACCGCCAACTACTGGTACTTCGGTACTACGGCTCATGCCGAGATGGCATCTTCGTTGTTGACTGCTACTGGTTCTACATATGATCTTCTGTCCGTCAATTCTGGCCTTCAGTTGACCGGCCAATACCACATGTATGTGTCCGGGCCTGGTTCCCTCTTCAACTACGGTGATTGTGGTCCAAACAAGTATTCCACCACCGCCAACTCCATTATGTTCTACGGCCAGCAGTATGACATGCCGCAGTACCAGCTTTTCCAACGTGATCAGTTCGACGCTGCTGAACCATGGAGCATGTTCTGGTACAACCCTGCTGTCACCGGTGCTTTCTGGGATGGTTTAGCACTCGACCACTTTTTTGATAACAGCACTGATCAATGGGCCTCCATGCGATCCAGCTGGACAGACGAGAATGCTCTTTATGTTGCCGTTAAAGCAGGCACGCTGCAGGGGCACCAGACGCACAACGACCTTGATTGCGGCGACTTTGTCGTTGATGCTCTTGGTGTTCGTTGGTTCGGAGAGCTTGGGTCTGGGGACTACAATTCAATAGGCTACTTCAGCAATGACAGTCAGATCAGTGAACGATGGATGTACTACCGCAAAATGACGGAGGGCCAAAACACCATTTTAGTCAACCAGCAGAACCAAAACGTCGCCGCTGCTCCGACTGTCAGACACGATACCTCAGCTACAGTTCAAGGGTCTAGTACTGTGATGAATGTTCCTGGTGACTCCAGTGCCTACTTCGTTGCGGACCTGTCGAGTGCATATTTCGACGTGTACGTTTGCTGATGCTTGTGTACGGAACTTGCACTGATGATCACTGGCAGTACCTCGTTCTCCCGTGGTGTTCACTTGATCAACGGACGCAAACAGGTACTCATCCAGGATGAGATCAACGCTTCAGCTTCCATTATGTGGCGAGCACACACCAACGCAACTGTCGCCATCAGTTCAGATGGCTTCACGGCCACCCTTACCATCGGTTCTGCGACCACCACTGTTCAACTGCTCAATCCTCCATCTGGCGCGGTGTTCACCACCATGGAACCTGTTCGGTTCGCTACTGATCCTATCCCCCCACAACCTGATCAACCTAATGATGGTGTGACTGTCCTGGTGATCAGTCTGCCTGCTGGCTCATACACGTTGGAGGTGCTCATTAATCCACAATGGCCAGGAATGTCATCGAGTTCATATACCACCCCCGCCTCTGTGCCTCTGAGTCAGTGGTCGTTGACAAGCCCTTCTTCTTAGTTCAGATATTTTTTGGACACTTTTGTTGTTATGCGGTGATAGACGTTTACAAAACAAAGATTGGAATTTTCTTGAGTTGTAGGTAGTTCCACGTTCGTACGGAGCTTCACTGATTAACCTACGTATCGTTCCTTCCGTTGTGCTTTCGGAGTATTGATCATTGGGACGGACACGTGTTGTAGTTATACCGTCTGAAAACGATTTGAGTTTTAGATACTTATTTAGCCTGGACGGCTAACAATATTACAATAACACTCAGTTGGTTTCCTTGACAGCCCCCACACGTTCTGTCTTCACCACAAGGGTTTCACTCCTAAACAACGACGCTCTTTTTTTCAAATCTGTCTTTTCTGCTTGGAACTAGTACGTGGGATAGAGAACTGTTACCTCACCGAGTGAGTACCTTCTAGCGCACTTGTAAAGTGGTTCCTTTTTGTTGACTTATTTCAACTGTTCAACGTTGCAACCACGACCTGTATCGACGGCTGGTCCATCTATTTGCTCGTTCTCTCTGTGTTCTCAATCCTGACCATTATTTTTACGGTCTCCAGTCACCAAGGTTTAGTTTAGGCTTTTTTTTTACCACGTACGCGCGACAAAATCTAGCGAAGATGCCCAAACTTTCTCTCCTTTTCTACGTCACATTCGTTCTTTCCTTGGTCATTGCCTCAGACGCAAAAGCATTCGACCCGAACCACCAAGTCAGCCACAACCGCTTCCTCAAGAAGCGAGTGCCGGCTCCCCTGATTGGTCGTTTCACCTTTCCCCAGCCTGGTCCCACTGTCATCGGAGTAGGGGCTGATCCTTTGACTTCAACCCCTGCTGCGGCAACGCAGTCCGCGTCAACGGCAACTACAGCTGATAGCACACCCATATCTTCTGCATCCCCTTCGTCTTCTCCCGCTGCAGTGAGTTTCATCATATTTACCCTACATAAGCAGCAGCTGAGATTGTGCCGACAGACATCCGTTGGGACAACGCAAAGTCAAGTTAGTCAAGTTTTACCGACAACGACGACGAGCTTGACTTCTTCATCGACATCTTCTTCATCCTCTACCTCCCCAACGAGCACTCCATCAACATCGTCAACACCATCAGCCATCCAAAGTGTTCAATCTAGTCCTCTTGTGACTCCTGATGCACCTGCACAGGCGGGCTCTCCCACCTCCCAGTCAGTCATACTTGTCACCAACACTGCTTCTTCAAGCGCAAGCGCAAGCGCCACACCATCTACTTTGTCCTCTTCTTCTACCGGTATCACGCACGCTGCCCTCATAGTCCTCATTGTCATTGCTGCAAGCGTCGGTGGTTCCATCATCATTTGGACCATTATTCGCAAGTGGAAGTTTGGCAAATCCTCCAGCTTTGATGATCGCATGCAGCCTATTGACTGGCAGCCGAGTAACGATATCGATGACAATAGTGGTATTCCCGGTCTGAACCGCCGTAACTCCACTGCATCATCGTTCCACTCTGGCTCCGGCCACGCCGGCATTGGTGCAACGACACTCAGCCCAATTCCTGACCATGATTTCACCGCAGGGCCTGCCAATCTCGCACCTGTTGGTGGTTATGCTGACCTTGCGCGTGGTCCCAGTCCTCAGCCTATGATGCAGGAACTCGCGCGTGGTCCGAGTGTCAACGCGCGTCAGTATCAGTCTGACCAATATGGTGTCCCGCTTCACCACGGCGCGTACGCCACGCACGGATACTGAGCCAGCATAAAAGGCGCGGAGAACAGCATTCATTTATCCCTCGTACAGGGAGGTGCTGCTCACCTTTTTATTCTGTCGTATCAGTTAATGGCATCGCCTTGCTGAGCTATGCATTCGCTTCATTCCCATTTACATATGCGTACCTAGACGACAAACGTTATGCTTATATTCCTCGCGTCCATACCTCAAGTCATTGCACTTCTATTCCTTCCCCGTCGTACTTATACCTTTCATTGCTATTCTTGTGTTCTTGATGCCATGCACTACTAGGCAATCGTTTGCATGGTTGGGTACTTGTCTTTTGTCTGAATGAAAAATGCGGTTTGTGCAGGTCACAAATGAATATACTGTAATCTACATGGCGTAGTCGGAGTTAGGTCAATTTATTCCTTGTCGATTGCATTCCTTGCAAGAAATTGAACCCCAAAGCCGCAAGAGGGATGAGGATCAACGTGGCACCTGTCCACCACCAGCGCACTACAAATAGACGTAGGGTAGTCCGTGTATGCGTGGGACGGGTATCAGACGAAAGTTTCTGATCTCTATCGTCTAATTTGGTACTTGCGAACAAGGACTCCAGGCCCGTCGGCCGTTCTGGAGGGAAGAAGCGCTGTGGCCTGACCCACGAACCGTCATCATCGTCATTAAGGATCCTCCTCGGCTTTGCGGGAGAAGGAACTGTAGGGGTCCAATCCATAGCATCGTCATCCTCGTCTTCATCCTTGGTTTGAGAGCCTGTGTATGTTGAGTTGGATGCCATGAGAGAAGGAAGGCCGAATATCGGGTTAGTGGGGGAGATTATGGGCTGCGACGAGAGTGAGAGTGATGCGAGGAGGTCTGGTTCGCTAGCGGTCCGCGTGTGGGGCGCAGGTGAAGGACGAGGAGAAAGCTCGGGTGTAGGATGTTCAGAGGCGGCTAGATGCTGGTGGCTAGAGGTATCGATTAAGCGAATTGGCGGTGGTTTTTGTACACGCAGCGCAACGAATGAGGTAGCGGAGATCTAAGCGTATGCAACACGTAAATACGAAAGAAGAGAGAAGGTGGAATAGCACTTACAAGAATTTCAGCGATAAGTGATATTAGACAATAGTAATGCGTTCGTGATGAATCTGGATATCGCGAAAGATGCAAGTAGTCTCGAGAAGGCGAGTGCAGTGATAGTGAGAGAAGAATAGATGAGAGCAATCTGGAGAACCATGCAATCATTTGCAGAATCTGGTGGTGCGTCAGTAAATTAAACTCTGATTATCATATGGACTGACAATATAATGATTCTTGCCCCGAACGCGGAGATCACGACCTTGTATTCGTGCCTTCCTGAAGGAGTAGTATGTCGGGTCCCATGCAGTCCAAAATAAACTACACAGAGTGATAAGAGGAAGAACCTGTCGCACGTAACCTAGTATATCGGGGAAACGGAGTTTTAACACAACTGCGACATGATAATCAGATACGATGGTGAAGCTAGAACTGTGATAATGTGTTGGCGCACCAGATGAGTGAGCGACAACAGCCACCGCTAACGTCATAAACCATAGAAACCCTCTTAGTCTCCACAGAAACAAATGAGTCTGAAGTTTTTCCCTTTCCCTATTGGATCCCGAAACTTGTCTCCGCCTCTCCTTGCCCCTGCTGTCATTTAACCATCCGCCCAGTGCCTTTGTCCGAGCCATGTGATCTTTCTTTCGGATCTCCTCTTCGACAGCAGGCATACAGTTGGCACACACCGGAGGATATCGGACGTGCAACGATTCACGATATTCTGGAAGTTTCTCCAAACGATGCGCGTAGTCCGGATGCTGTTCACTGACGTTTAGTGTGATGAAACACGTGTAAAAAGGGCGCTTCCCACATGTGGTGGCGGTAGGTAGTTTGAGAGAAGGTTGACCAAGAGCATTTGGTTTGTCTGGCATGTATGACAAAACTGACCGGTCCCGTACATGGATGGCAGGCGGTCCTTGCTGGGAGAGGCTACCAATAAATTAGAGCGTGAATAGCGACAAGAAATTTGAAGCTTACCTCGTTTTGCAAAAGATTTCGAATTCAAGGATTCGTCGTGCATGGCAGGTTCATCTGACATTATTTCGCCGTTCGCATCATAGCGGTTCCAACAGTCACAGTGCGGACAACGAAAAGATCGTTGATCTGGCGGTGCAGGCTTGATGGCAGACCTACAGAAAAAGCAGATTGTACTGCTAGTGTGACGAAAGAGAGCTGGCATTTGGGTTTGAGACGTGTTAGCTGGAGGAGCAGTGAATAAATGAAATTGGTATTTGTTTATAAATTGACGAGAATGGAAAAATTGCTCCTCTGTGGACTTTTAACAAGAGAATGTCACTGGCCCCAACACACACAACGCCTAGAGGTCAAGTGGTCCTACAGCCCACGTACTTCACGTGTTCCTTGTTTGTGGACCCTGCTCGCGAAGACATTGACCACCTCATTCATGTCTATGCCGAGCGGTATGCCAGGTCTCCGCCTTCACAGCCTTTTCTGCTCTTCAAGGACACTTGGAACAACGAAGGATGGACGTGGTTACATTTCAAGGTTTTTGATGCCAGATCTCGCGATGCTTTTCTCAAAGTTGCCATGCAACTCTTATCAGGTAGGATCACGATTCGCCTCTTGTGCATGTACTCATGCATGCCATCGTATACAGAACGGTTGGCGGCATCCGAGTATCCTCTTACTAGAGCTGCTGCTCTGTTTGGCCTTTACACGTTCTTTGCGACTCAACCATCAACGTCGGCTCCGCCGTTGTATGCTCTCGCTCATCTCCCTATGACAATCGGTAAGCCGCTCTTGTGTCTTGAGATCGGATAGCTCATTGAGTCTAAGACATGTATGAGTCTTTACTGAAGCTGCCTGACGTACTCGAAACGGATTTCCTGCGCCCTTTAAGACCCCACATAATATATGTACTCTCCGCCTTGCAAAAAGCTCAGTTTTTTCATATACTCCCCCCGTCTAATTTGTACCCGCATAGTCCGCGAGAACTGCCAAGGGAAAAATTTATCTCAGATGGGTACGAACAGGCAGCTTATTTTAGCACAAATGCAAGCAAGAAGAAAGGTCGACCGTCAAAACATGACAAGGTGAAGAAATCCAAGGACGCTGTCGTTGCGCTGGACAAGTGGCTAGACAAAACTGCATATACATATCAACCACCTCGGGTTACAAGTGCAGAGGCTCCACAATCTGTCACTACGCATATTCTACTTTCACATCCGCCGAGCACGACACGGAACAATTACCGGGCAAAAAAATCGGAGTTGCTGGAGAAACTTGAGCCCGATTATCCGTATGTGACGACTGAAGGACCTGGACGAGCAGCTTTGGAACGAGCAAATCTGGGGGTTGTTAGCAGGTTACAAAAAATAGACGAGGAAGCAGCAGCAAAGGGGATGGAGATTGGGGGAGAAGGCGGGGAGCGGACTGGATTACGTCGTGTGGAGAGAGCTGCTGATGAGCTTGGTAAAATTGGGTCGCTAGGAGGTCGTGGTGGTCTACTTGGTTTGTTAGAAGGCGCGGGCATTGTCGAGTAGCTCGAGGGGAAACCATGCCGTTCTGTGAACCCATCAATCTATATTATTTTAAAACTCAATATCCCCTGTCAACCGGTGCCCGTTACTTCCCACGGCAAAATTCAGGTTCACTTACTCTCCCCCCCGCCGCCATCACAAAATTCAAATATTCAACTGTAACACCTACTAGTAGTCTCCCTCGATAAATTCCTTACCGCTCTTTTATATTCAATCCAATCGTTTTGCCTTTAGATGGCTTCTGATAGCCAAAGGCGTTTTCATTCTCAAACACCTCCCAATGCTCCTTCAACAGCAACTCTTTTTCAATCTGGAGGGGGCTCCCAGGTCGTGCAGGCCGCGTTTGCTAGGCCCCCCCCGTCCTTGAGAAGTACGCAAAGTTATCACACCCTTGTTCGTCGTCAATTTTATATGACAGCCTTCACGTAATATGTTCTGAATTTCCTCCCAGAGTGAGTCGCCTTACAGCAGTGCTGGGCGGACAGTCTCTCTCCAAGAACAGTCAATATCCGAAAAGGTACGTATACACTAATATATACCTATTTTTAATTCAACTGCGTCTCGCCGATCCCTAATGCAATATTTACTACAGTTCTCCCTATCTCCTGATCCATCATTATGGGGTGCTACTCTTGCCATGAACCTCGAGGAACCAGATGACGAGCTTCATAATCCGGATCCTCGTCGAGACCGCAAGAATGACCGTGGCGGTTCTGTCTTCACTTACAGAGGTTTAACCAACCTTGGCTGCCTTATCTTCCTTGCTGTTGGAATGGTTTCTCTGTTGTACGCCCACATCATATATGTCAGCCTAGTCCCTGGGATTGACATGCTCTTCAGTGCTGGATACCCTATGATTTCCTATTTTACGAAGCAGTCTCTTTCAAATGAGGGTGGATTCAACATTGGGGGGATTAATGCGAGCGGACAGGCAAGTCCTCATATCTTCTCTCCAAGTTACAAATACCTATTACCACTGCAAAGATTCCCACTATGACAAATAATTATGGTCTTATTGACGTGGATACCCCATCATCCGCCCATACCTACACGTCCTTTGCAGATTCCTCGCAATGGCAGTTAGTTTTCAGCGATGAATTCGAAGTAGAAGGCAGGACCTTCTGGCCTGGAGATGATCCGTATTGGGAGGCTGTAAACCTTCATTATTGGCAGGTAAATCTCATTTTCCGCAGGTATTGGCTTTAACTGAAATGTTGTCAGACCAATGATCTTGAATGGTATTACCCTGATCAGGTCACTACCAGAAATGGCTCGTTGGAAATTACTCTATCTGAAAGGGAAATGAACAACTTGAGTTTCACCAGTGGATTAATCTCCACTTGGAATAAGTTCTGTTTCACAGGTGGTATGGTTCTGGCATCAGTAAGTTTACCGGGGACAAACGACGTCAGTGGTACGTCTAATGTTACGTTGTCTGTTTGTTATTTTACTGATCCTTTACTTCCGTCAACTAGGTCTGTGGCCGGCAGGTACGAAACGAAGCTACTAGTTTTTGCGAGTGTACTAACATGATCTCAGTGTGGTCAATGGGTAATCTCGGTTAGTAACGTCGTATTTTAAAAGCGCTCTCATCTGACTATTCACAGGACGAGTCGGATATGGCGCGAGCCTTGAGGGAATGGTAGGTCCCCTTTTCAGGCTCGAAATTTAATCGTTGACCAATGTGCCAGTGGCCTTACTCTTATGATGCTTGCGATGTCGGTACAGCCCCCAACCAGACAATCAATAGCGCACCAGCGGCAGCTGTTACTGGCAACCCGTACGACAACAGCGCGCTTTCGTATCTCCCTGGCCAGCGTTTATCAAGGTGTACTTGCAAAGGAGAATCACATCCAGGACCTGTGCACTCGGATGGGACATACGTTGGTCGGTCTGCACCCGAAATTGATGTTTTCGAATCACAGGTGTGGTAATTCATTTTTTATTCTGATAGGCTTCCCAACAACCGTAGGTCACCACCGAAGGTCAAGTTTCTCAATCTGCACAGTGGGCTGTAAGTACATGGTCTTTGTCAAGCGTCCTGGCTCACAATGAAGACAGCCTATGAACCATGCGTACCAATGGTCCAACACGTCGCAAAACTACAAGATTCCCAACCCAGATGTCACCCAACTCAACTCGTACCTCGGCGGTGTCTACCAGCAGTCCACGTCTGGTGTCACGAACACAAGTGAGTCAGATTTATCTTGTAACTGTTCAGACGCTAACCAGATTTTAGACCAGAGTTGCTACACGCAAAACTCTGGCTGCTTTTCGACATATGGATACGAGTACAAGCCAGGTATCTATCGTCTTTAGTGTTTTACATGAATTAACAGTGTCATCAGGTTACTCAGCTGATGGAGGCGTAAGTAAAACCCACAGTTTTCCTATGGTTATTATTGATGCAGTCTTTACGCAGTACATCAGTTGGATCACAAATGATGTCGTTGGGTGGACCCTCGATGTCGGCGCATTGGTAGCTGATTCCGTGACTGAAATTTCAGACAGACCAATTCCCCAGGAGCCAATGGTCAGAATATCATTTTTGGGCTGTTCTTTAGCTCATGCTCTTCGTAGTACCTTATCACCAACTTGGGCATCTCTGAGAACTTCCAAACGGTTGACTTCACGAACCTTATTTTCCCAGCTACCATGCGGATAGACTGGATTCGTGTCTACCAGCCTCAAGGCTCTATCAACATCGGCTGTGACCCTAAGGATTTCCCGACGGCTGCATATATCAATGAGTACGCACTACACCTCTACTGATACTGAATTATTTTATGCTCCGTACGTTCAGGTATATTGAGGCATACACAAACCCGAACCTGACGACTTGGAGGAATGATTTTAAACAACCCTTCCCCAAAAACAATCTCACGACCGGGTGCTAGCGGTACATACATACTTATTCGGTCGCCCGTTTTCTGTTGTTTTTGTTTTTGCGGACCTTGATACCGTCGGACTGGTATCATCCAGACTTGTTGTCTGTCATTTCCAGGATTTCATTCGTTTTTGTATACCTCCGGGACCCTGTGCACACTTCCCTACGTGTTCTATGCCCTATTTGTCCTCCCCATATTGTTTGTTCTCTGTAGAGGTCTGTCATCTACACCTATGTTCAACGGGCATATTTGAGTATATCATATTTCTGTAGAGGTTGATTGGAATAATGAAAGGCGTTAAGATTAAGAGTGACCTGATTTCATTCATACCACTGGCGATTACATGATTACGTGTTCGAATATCCAATAAAGACATCAAAGAGATAAAATCCTACATCCGGTCAAAAAGTGTTTGCAGTTTGGACAGCGTTCGTTCCAGCATGATGATGCCGCCTGCAGTCAGGCGAGGCACAGCAAGATTCTTATCTACCTCTGTGTTTTCTGGGCCCAACTGACTCTTCTGGATTAGTGCTCGGGAGTCGTTTAGGACTTTGGATAGCCTGCCCTGGGAATTGTACAACCAGTTGATCTCTGCCTCTAGTCCACCGAGAGGAATCTCCAAGGCGCGGCGAACAAATCCACGGGATAGGACATATGCCTTCTCACTGTAAAGTCGACTACATAATATGATGGAGTGAGTCATAGGCAGATGCGAGGAATTGGACGTGGACGCCACCTGTTAACCATGCCTTCCTCAGTTCCCCTCAATTTTTCGTACGCAGGTTCACAGAACCAACTAGAAAGTGCTCAGCAAGTTATAAAAGAGAAGACAGGGTGCAGAAACCTACGGCTCTTTCACCAACACCAGACCCTGTATCGACACAAAAGCCTGGAGAAGTGAAGATCTTGCCGCGCTCCACGTTTCCGTGCGGTCTCCACTCCACGTCCCGAGGATGGACAAACAAACTTTGCCTTCCTCGTACAAGTTTCTGAGGCCTGATTAGCCGAGAGTAGCGCTTTCTTCATCCTCACTCACGGATTAACGCGACCGTTGCCGTTGGTCCAACTCAAGAAGTGAGCAATCGGTGGACTTTGAGGGAAGTTTGAGTCAAGCATCCAATCTATTACAAACGGTGCGTCTTCATAGGGTGTATTTTCCGGTCCAATAATGAGGCATCTCAATAAATCTGCACGATCCTCGTATGCACGGACGAGGATTGTATCTGTTCTGATTAGTATATATGAAGCAAATGGGAGGAATGATTGATGACACAGACCTGGTAGGCTGGTTGAGAGCGCACGGTACTCTTTCGTCAGACGCGCGAGGAAATTCTTCGATGGCTGATTCGATACAGACGAATAAAATGCATGGTCATGGGGTGCACTTGGGTGAACCTCGAATTTCTTCCATGGAGAATCGGCATGACCGTCCTCATCTTCCTGAACAATAATCTCTTGGGTACTATCTGGCGATGTGTTGGACGACGATACTGGGAATGGTGAGTCCGAATCGGTCACGTCTGAAGTTATATCGTGTAATATCAGAGAATCTGGGATGCCATCACCCAATGGGATATCAATTTCGTCGGCCCAGGTGTCCACATCCATTCCATCGCCATCCTCATCACTATCCTCCTCGTCCTCCCATTCTGAATCATCATGGTCGTAGCGCCATGTGCCATCTGGATCTAGATGCCACACGCCCTCGGTGTTGTCAACATGAGAGCCTTGATCGGAGCCGTCTTCACCCTCCCAGCCATCATCTTCAAATTGTTCAAGAGTGTCGTAAAGCTTGGTCAGCCGTGAGATAGGGTAGATAGCCATAGATCCATTCGGATGGGTGACATCGACTGTTCCGTCAAGACGAAGCTTCGAATCGGAGTTAGTTCAGAAGCAGATGATGCAATTCGGTAGGGGACTCACCCCAGTGACCTCTCCGAACCATGACAGAGATGCATTGTCCCGCGTTGGATGCTTGACACGGGAAACAGTGGGCTTTTCTTTTCGTTCGGACGCTATTTTCGTCCCCATATCTGCCATCGTGCGCCTCCAACCGCTGAATTCTCCGTCAGGCCTAACTGGCACCTCTCTCACCCACTCCTCGATCTCGCCGATTCTCGGAACTCGAGGGGATTCAAAACCATTTGAGGCGCCCTCACGGTGGACGAATACCTTGTCACCACGACGCACGCCGAGATGGGTATGTGGAGTGCCTGCCGCCCAATCACTGACACCGTTTGGGTCGAGTTCAAGAACAGAAACAGTTTCAGTCTTGCCAGTACTCGTGAAACGAATGACGGCGACTCGATCAGTAGAATTGACCGATTGAACAACGGCTGCGTGCTCTTCATGCTCAAATTTCCATAGGACGTGGTCGCCTGGCCTGAGGAACCATGTGTTATTCAATGCCATACAAGACATAGTGAAGAAACCTTACCAGCAGTCATATTCATCCGGATTCAGGTATGGAATCAGCTCCGTGGAAGGGAGGCTCTCCTGTGATCCATCTTGCCAAAGAACATTGACGACCGTTTTCGTCTCCCTCACGCATAGGGTCTTGATCGTCATGGCGCCATTTGATTCTGACTCGACACCGTATCTTGTGACAGGCACACCTGCATCGTTCTCCAGCAGAATCTTATCCCCGACACGTACATCATCCACACGCATCCTAATCACTGTCAATTTGGTCAAATCTTCGCCAGACCAGAAACGTGCTGGTCGCTGTTTGAGTTGGGCGACACTAGGATTCAACTACACAATGCGCTAAGAATGTGAGGGGCTGAAGAAGATAAGGAGACCTACGCTTTGATTTACCGCTAGCCAACAGATGGCTAGTATTGTGCGCTTCATATCTATGACAGTATCATCCGGGCTAGGTAGTGGGGCTCCTTTAGGATAATTCACTAGCCCGTGAAGTGCCTCGGGGTCCGGTAGAATGTCCTTAACAAAGTGAGCGCACAGAACAATAGATACCCAGGTGGAACCTACCGGCCCCTTGTCGCCAATTGTCAGACGAGAGCTAATTTCAGGTAAGCGGACGAAGGCGCCAGACGCAGAAACAAGAAGTTCGTCGAATAGCTGTAGGAATCATCAACCGTCACTTCTTTGTACCGTAATTATTGCACAAACCTCTATGACCTTCATGTGGGAACTCAGCATGTCATTTCGACTTGCGAGACATTGAAGCGCACCTGTCCAATCCAGTCATCGTAGATCACATAATCTCCACCGTCAACGTCAGTAGCACGTCTAACTTCCCTGATATCTCTCCAACCCTCTACTTGCTCTCCGCTGATTGCGTGCACAAGCCGTGCTTGTACCTCGATGCTGGTCACTACGCCAGAACGAACATCATCAACGCTACGCTTGCAATAATCCCCTGACTGAAATGTTCTATCTACGAGCTCATAGTGAGACTCCGGGACGATGTCGCGAACACCGCCTGGGAAGAATGAGACCCCGATCTCACCACGATCAAGGGATCTCATTAAGGGGTCCGTGAACGGACTTGGGAGTGGTGGGATATCCTCGGCATCGTGCCAGCATCTCTGTTGATTCCATGAGAAATGCATAGAGCTCGGCGGGTGCATACTCACAAGTACAATTCCATATACATTCGGCGAGTCGATGCGGCGCACGATATCCTCCTGGTAGAACTTTATGGACCGAAGTAAATCGAAAAAATCCAGAGTAATAACACAGACGCATACCTTGGTGGGCAATCTTGTCCTTTGGGTGGTGGTCATTACCACAGCAACCTGAGAGGAAGATATGTCTGAGAATTGGTCGAATGAGAAGAGAACAAAACCATCGCTAACTTTGATCTGTAGGTCACGTGTATGGGGCACATCTCCGATTGACCAAGCTGCCGAACTACAATTACCACACCACAATCATTATCGAGAACCATTTACGAACATGGAAGATCCGACGTTGACCTCGCTGCCTGTGGAACTCATTCACAAGATCATTTCTTTGCTGGATTGGAGAACAATATTGGTTTGCCGGGAGGTGCGTACAACGTATATTCTTGAGAGTCGACCGCACTCATGTTATACAGGTTTGCAGGCTTATTCCACTCAATAGTACAAGGAGATAGTGCTCAATATGAAATTGAGCTTGCTGTATCTGGGATGGTGGACGGCCCTCCAAGCACACTTACCACCTCAGATCGGCTTGCACTTCTTAAGGAACGCAATGCTGCATGGGAGTCTCTGAGATGGGTAGAATCGCGGGATATTCCGATGATGCAGGGACACATCTGGGAGTTATACGGCGACGTGTTCGCGCAATCTAGCACGTCAGATGTCCTTCACTTCCGTCAGCTGCCATCAAAGTACAGAAAAATCGAAGAAAAAACATGGGGTGTGGCGCTGGACTATAAACGTTCGAGACTTCACCATGGATCCTGCGCAGGACCTTCTCGTGCTCATCGAGGAGCCCACCCAGCTGTATGTTACTTCACTGCTGTATATTTATCAAGTCTGACACATCCACAGCCCTCATATCAACGCCACTACCCGTAGCATTCGGATCCATTTACGTTCCCTCACCACAGGAGACAGGCACAGATTAGCGCCTCAACCAGCCATTCTCGTTCATGACCTCAATGTGCGGCACGCCCGAGCAACGTATACATTACGAGTGTGCGATAATCTCCTGGGTATCTTATTCACACTCCAGGATGAAGATGCAGACCCCGAACTTACCATATGGGACTGGTCAACGGGCAAAGTTATTTTGGTAATTGTTCAAAGTTCCGTGGTGTCACCCTCTGATCGTCATTTCTTAGACATGCTTCAGTTCCGAGATTGCGACATTTGCATTCCTCAGCAGTCGCTTTTTGCTAGTAGGCAGCGTCTTTGACTCCGAAGCTATAAACATACAGGCCCGCCTCTACGTGTTTGATATGACTAAACCATCTAGCGAAACGTTTGGCCTTTGGGCGGACTATTCTTGCGTATTTCTTTGGCCCGAATTCAACTTCTGGACCAACCCGGTGGCTCTTTCAATCCGCTCTGATCCATCGCCTACCTGGCAGCCTAATCCAGAGGCTCGGTTACCCTTCTCAACGGCGCCTGGGGACAGGCTCCTCATCATTACAGTCTCCTTGGTGAACAATGACCGTATCGTCCCTTACGATATGTTCGTTTCAGCTGATACTTTGCTATCTCATATCGAAGCCCTTCCTACGGAGGTTCGCTCCCGTGAAATCAAATGGGATGAGTGGGGCCCCGCAGGCACACGCTTGATGCGGTCTTTGTCACAGCCTTCCCTCTGGGTGTGCTACGTATTCGGGACCAAATTCGTGTCTCTTACTGAGCCGACCCACACGTCTCCGCAGACTTTGGAGATGTGGGATTTCAACCAGCTCGCAATGAAGCGAGATGCCAAAGTTCAAGGTGGTATCAGCCATCATGTACGTGATACGACGGTAATTGATAAAGTATTTGCGGACGAAATCTACACGAGTCTACCCTACCGGGTTATCAAGCGCACCCTACCTCCACATTCTTCTCCGGAATTAAGTTTTACTGCTGTCATATGCAGCGAAGACAGCCTCATTTTAGTAGATGTAAGCATGCCACACGCTTACCGTATCGAACGTTTCTCTGATGGCGCACGTCCATTTGCAGTCTAGTCACCGGTATCTTCGCCTTCTCACTTTTTGAGCAGTGCAAAGAGATCATTGCAATTTTCAAATGACAATTGAAAAGGCCACCTGGATCCTACATTGCCAGTTGCGCGGCAACCACCCAACTTCGAACACTATGTTCAAGTGATATACTTCAACCAAAACGAGTCAAGGAACGCGAATATTCTGGACAATCGAGGAACTCGGTCCGTTGACGCAACCAGTGATAATATTGAAAAATGAGTATTGCATTTTATTTGCAAAGCTTCCTGCAGCTGGCTAGGTAGTGAGGCATCCCTAGCAGGGGATGGGCAAGGGGTGTGGTAGGGCACAATTTGCATGGTTTAGTCAGCATCCTCGCAGGCTTTGGACCAGACGTCCTTCGAGCCATTAAGCCGCAATGCCCTCGCGAATGGGCATCTGTTCCAGCACCTTCCTGAGATTTCGTATTCGAAGCGTCGTCGTGTATGAAAATCAGAATCATGTTTCCGCGAAAATGGCTCATCATAGCGGTGGAGATTAATTTCCGTACTTTCAACGCTTTTTCGTCATACCTGTATTAGTTCTGCAGGTTTCTTCCAGGACCATCAATTGAACTATGAAGCAAGTCATCTCCCCATACTGCTACTGTTCCAACTGTAGGTCAACACAAATCACGGACATATAAAATAGTGAATTACCTCCCAAAGCAATGGCCTCTAGCGGTCATTGGGACTGATGCCAAAAAGTTATACACCATCCCATACAGAGCCACATGTGTCCATATTCTCATCGCTAAAAGCAATATAAAGTCATATATGACGACGTAAAGGCCCTGTAATCAACGTAACGCGCCCTAAAGGACTTACTGGTTCTCTGCCGCCTGGTGCAGATTCTTTGAGTGTCCAGCAGTGGCACATTAAAATCAGAATGAAACGAAAATAAAAGTTAGCATACCAAGGAAAATCACAGCAAGTTACCGGTTACCTCTTGTAACCCATGTTAGTGACACCAACAACGAGTATTCCTCCATGTCGGCACCTTTACCGAAGTCGCCATTCATGCGGACCACTTGTGCAAGATACATAATAGCCCTGAGATGGCCACATGATAAGATGGGATCCGCGCTGGTGGAAATAGCACGTCATATTGCGTGTCATATTGCAGGAAATATCGCCTAGTTCGTCATATTTGATGAACCTGCTTGCAGAAGTTCATGATTATGGGGCACTGGAAGTTGGCTATAGCCTGGCGAGGACGTTATTGTGGGCTGTGCTATTGTTAGTTGGGTTACTGGATACGTATTCTTCCTGTATAGCTGCGGCGCTACGTGAACAAAGGATATTATGAATAGAACGCACGATGGGGTACGCTAGATCCGCTATCGCTTTCGTTAGCAGAACGTTTCTGTAGCGTTGACATCTACTCGGATTCGTGCATTTCTTGCAGCCGGCGGGCCCGGTGATGGAATGGGTTTAGCCCCAGTCTCATGATGCGTTCCTTTTGCTCGAGAATATACTGCCGATTGGGTGGCAGAAATGGACTCAGATCAAGAAATGAAGTGGCAAGTTAGTCACTGATCCTGTAATCGTGCAACGTTCGAGCAAACCTTCAACCGAACGAATGGATGATTCAGATTTTCCCAATTTGGAAGGATCTGGATACGAACGAGAAAGTTATGCCAGACGCTGTCCTATGACTGCGTGGAGTCACGGTTGACTCCTGACTATTGGCGCTTGGCTGCCTGCCAGCGTGTTCCTTTCATAGATTTCCTTTGATCTTTCTTCCTTATGTACAGGATTTCCTAAATGTCGTTTCACTTGCCGCTTAAAAGCTGCATACCCCCAGCCTAGTCGAGTCATCATCATGCTCTCACATACTATCCACCACGGGCCTCGTATATTGTCCTCCGTTGCAGCCTCAGCCTTGAAAGCACGTCGAACTCAGACGTTCAAAGCCTTCTATGCCGTACGTACTATAGCTTAATCACACATGGCAAATGTATTGACTCCCGATTTGTCCTTTGCAGACTATTCGAAGTCTTCGTCAACCTCCGCCCACTGTCGAGGTCGATGAGCTCGACCCGCGGGATAATGTATGTCTTGATTTATTTTTCCACGACAAGCTAACCTTCCCAGCAGGACTTCATTCTCTCCCTCCTGAAAGCCAATCCTTCCCTCCGGGATACTAAATCTTACCTCGCGAATTTTGGCGTTCGTCCATCAGCTTCGGACAATGCCGGCCCCGTTCTCCCATCTACTATTCTCAATAATTCGACGCCCTTGTTTCTAAAAGAAGCCCCAGATATATCTGTCGATAAACAACCAGAACAGGCCAAGCCTGACCCGAGCCCTATCCTGTCTTCTATATTGAATCCTGTCTACCGTCGCACTGCTCTTGTAAAACTCCAGGGTCCGTTCACAAATAAGCAGCTCGATAGCATCGCTAGGGGCATGGTCTACCTCGAGAAACTCGGACTTGTCAGCGTTATTGTCGTCGAAAATGATCAGATCAGGGGCGATGATGGAGAGCGCTCCGCTCTCATCGAAGAGATAATGCGAGTTGTCTCCGCATTAGAAGCACAGGGTGCCGAGGCGCGCCCCGTCCTCGGTACCACTGTCCGACTAGGTCCTAAGCCAGATGATGACCAGCTTCGCGAGCCTCGCAATTTTATTCCCCCTGAAGCACATGTATTTCCCTCGGACCTTGTCGCCATCCGTTCTGCTCTTCGCGCCGGGGAGATCCCAGTTCTTCCTCCTTTTGCCCTGGATTCCTTCTGCAGATCAGTACGGATAGGTGCTAATGACGTTCTTGGCGCCCTTGCTCGCGGCATGGTCGAAGCTGCTGCCCTTGATGACAATGACATGAAGTCAAGTCCTCGTGATCCCCATGCAGACTACTCTCAAGACATCAACCTCGTTCCTCTGCGACTGATGATTATCAGTCGGGAAGGAGGGGTCCCTTCTTATGCCAGAACAGGCTTCCCTCATCTCCTCATCAACCTCACATCCGAGTATGATTATATCCGCGATACTTACGACCCATCATGGTCCAATGAAAAGGATTCTTCGCTTTCAAATTTGTCCCTCGCGCGTACCTGCTTAGCGTACATGCCGCCTACATCATCTGCCATCATGGTTTCTCACCGTTCGCCGAGTTCCCTCATCGCCAACCTCATCACGAACAAGCCCGCCGTTAGCTCGAGCCTGCCTCACGCACTTCTCCAAGGTAACCGAAAACTCACGCGGGACACGCCCACTCTTCTGCGTCGCGGTCTCCCAATACAAGTTATTCGCAACCTTGCGGACGTTGATAAAGCCAAGATGAACTACCTCTTGGAGACCTCCTTCAAGCGCACTCTCGATGCTGATGCTTTCTACAAGCGCCTAGAACAGAATCTCGACTTTGTTGTGGTCGCAGGAGATTATGTCGGCGCCGCCATTGTCACCAACGAGCCCTCGCCCAATTCCTCTGAACCCATCTCGTATCTTGACAAATTTGCTGTACTACCTAGTCATCAAGGTGACGGTACCGTCGACTTCTTGTGGGTCGCCCTCCACGACGAATCTTATGGTTTGGGTCACCTGTTCTCTATTAACCCAAACGGGGGCAAGGAGGGCAAGGGTGAAGGCCGAGACCTTGTTTGGCGGAGTCGTGATGATAACCCCATTAACAAGTGGTACTTTGAGCGTAGCTCCGGCCATATGCGGATGGGCTCGTGGGTATTCTTCTGGTGTGATGCTGAGAAACGTCTGAGAGTGGAGGAAGGACGCCGTGCCAACGCCGGTCTTTCTTACGTAGAAGAATGGGAAGAGAATCGCTTGTCACGGTGGGCAGACGTTATCACCAAAATTCCATCTGTGTGGAAATAGAAGTCGAGATCTGTATGTACTTCATAGTATAACACTTCAGTGGTGTAGGTTTTGAATTACAACACTCAATGTAGGACAAGTAAATTATTATCCATCGTAATGGCGAGCCCGCACCAAGTCCCCAGCTCCTCTGAACATCCGCAGCGATTCCTGCGGACGAGATCTCTTATCACCTTCAGTTCTCAGGCATTGTACTGGCACCAGCTGTGCTTTACCGTCTCCTGTCCCATGAGAACCTTCCTGACAGATCTCCTGAAATCCCTCGCTAGTGCTTGGTTTTTGCACGTGACATGTCTTCTAGCCTGATAGACATCAAAACGCACTACACTCCGACTGCGTTTGCAGGTGAGCCGTCTTCTGGGCACCCAGCCCACAGGCACCAGATAATGAGATTGTCTCGTTGCGAGCGTGTTCAACTGCCACAGAAACACAGTAGTGGTAACCACCAGAATGTCTGAAACTCACTCATACGGAACTGTGATAACAGACAAGCGATTTAAATAGTAGCCATACGCGAAAGATATGCGGGTCTCAAAGCGATGGTGTAATATTGCGAGTGCATCACAGGATGTATTGGGGCAATCATACATGTCATCATTGACATGCATGTCAGTGGTAGGCACGCTCGTCGAACACCGAAGTGGCGCGGTACGGAGCCTCAACGTTCAACGTTCAACGATAAACCTGTAAATGCAAAGAATAAACTGAGCGTCTCTACGGAAATGAACGTGAGGCAAGTCAATGAACCAATGAGACCACGCGAATTATAAATTCTTGCCACCTTAGATTAAAAACCACTTGTCACTGCTGTTCACAGACTGGAAGCTGCAGATAACGGTCAAATCACTGAATTTATTATCCACCGCGACGGAGACGCATGTGATAGAAAAGGCTATATTCCTAGCTGAACTGAGAAGGCTCTGAACATTGCGCATAAGGTGGATTGTTCCCGCCTCAAGGACTCAAGTACTCACGTCTCACCAAATGCCAGCAGGGGCTAATTTTCATCCACAAGTAACATTCTCGGTTCAATGGTGATAAAAACACGAACACGAGAATATCGGGAACGAATGCCCTTGTGAATGACTTGGCACCTCCTTCATATGACCCACCCTTTCCAAGCAGCTTCCCAACCCTCCACAAAGCGCTCCTCGGCGAATGCGCTTACAGCCCAGGTACGTGCACGCGTCCTCATCGCTCGCTGCTCCGACTTACTCATGCTCAGCACCGTGTGCATGGCGTTCGCAAAGCTCTGCGGATCATGTGCATGGAATCCCGTTGCTTCACCGTCCAGAGGCACAACAATATCATGAAGTGGGCCGCCGGAAGCGTGCGTCACAGGAATCACACCTGCAGCCTGGTTTCACCCGAGGTAAGTTGCTATACGAAACAAAGTAAAACAGGGAATCACCATAAATTCAACGACGTTGATTCCAAAATGTTCGTCCACCATCGTGCTGAGCCCGATGCTAGCCATTGCGAGCCAGCCGAGCATTTCCGGGTAACTTGCGTTGACGATGAACTGGACGTAAGGGGTTATCTTGAGTTTTTCTGCGAGATTTCTAAGAGACTGCACGCGGGCGTGGTCGTCCGCGTTACGTGCGCCACCCAGTAGGAAAAGTTGCACAGAAGAGGAGCCAGAAGTATAAGTTGGGTGATCGGCCAATAACTGTGCAAAAGCGCGAAGTTGAGCAGGGTGGTCTTTTTCTGGCCTTTATGAGCGACATTTGAGCTCCAGTAACAAATGTAAAGTAGAATAGAAATATACCTGAATTGTGCGATACTCAGAATGATTCTTTCCCTCTCGTCCAATGGGAATTGTGCCATCTCGCGGGTATCGCATGGCGGGTAGACGATATCGGCTTCTGGTTTCTTGCTTGCTGAATCGGCGTGGAGTTTCTTTGACTTGAATGTAGTCGCAAAGAGACGAAGGATGAAAAGGGGGTTGAGGAAGTGCATTACGTTCATGACGGGGTCGGAGTGCGAGAGTATTGCATCGACGTGATTCTTTGTCCAGCTGGAGTTTGCCATAATAAAGGAAGGGCGGGAGAGCGCCAAGGAGTAGTGATACATCAGGAAACGGTAATACCTATGAGGTGTGTTATGATAAGTACCAGTCACAAACGCAACCGCAGCAGGAGATAAAATTCTAAACAGAGCGAGAATGTAAAAGGTGGAAGGTGGATTACTTGTACTCACCACATCTTCCCGCGGCTCAATACCAACGAGCCTGCGACGTCTCCGCGATTTGTATGACCCACCTTTCTGGCCCTCACGCGGGCCAGCATATCCGTACTGATTGTTGGATAATGGATATATGCACCCACAGGTATGGATCCCTTAGTGATCCATGCAACTATGTGGAATGTGAAAGCGTAACCCATGCTGTCTAAGCGGTATGAGCACCGATAGCCCTGCAACATCCAAAACAAGTAGACCTACCAATGTATAAGTCTGGGATAACTTGGGATAAAGCTTCCCAAGCGAGGAACATGGACCCAAGACTCTGGCCAAGAAGTGTAAAACGCGGCCAAGCGGCATCCTCAACTAAACGTCTTCTCTTTAGGAAGACGAAATGTAAAGATTTGGGATCAAGAGAGATATTGAAGCGTGCTTCGACTTGAGCTATAATCTGTTCTTTTGTCGCGTCGACGTCTCCAGTATATACTAATGAGACACAGTTAGGATGTGCACGTTGGGTAGCCGCTATAGCGGTCCAGAGGACACGTTCGCCTCCCCCACCTGCATTGCTGCAAAAATCCCACGAGTTAAACATTGCCCAGCCCTTGGCGGAAAAACTTACCAGTAAGGATGGAAGAAACCGATGAATTGAGGGTTTGATGTGGTGGAGATGCCAAGCTGCTTGATGATGGCATGGCGAGCTTGTGCTGAATGTCTAGCAAGTTTATTTGTGTAAGCAGTAAAAATGATGATACCAACGAGGCCTGTTAGAAGAAGGCACAGCAGAGCAATAGCAAAAGCCATCAGTGCAAATACTGTATGGTAGCCTGCAGCGGAGCTTTGAGGCTCACCTGGCCGACGAGAGCCAAACAGTGTCGCCGTGTCCACTGCCAAGATGTCCCGTTGTGGTAAACCGTTTCGGCATTACATACGTACAACTTGAATTTGATATTACCACTCAATTCTTACTAATACGAGTTGGTCAGTCAAACGCGGCGACCTGTAAGTCGTCCCTTAACGTTTAACAGTTACGCCAAAAGGCAGTGATAATTAAAGCACGCTTTGATTATCGCGGTCAGTATTTATGCTGATTATGGGAACTCGGGTAAGCAGCGAGCTTATACGACCTTCGCAATATGCGAATTCTTGGAAAAGTGTGGAATGCCCTGCGAGTCATTTAGATGGTACCCCGGGGGTCGATGCAGAAGCGGAAGAAACTCGGTACAGACGTCTGGTGGAGAACTGGAATGGAACTGTAGAAGAGATCCGGAAGATCGAGGGCTTCTCTCGCTGCCTGTTTCCCCCTTTGTTCTCCGATCTTCAAGATGCGTGATGGGTCCATCATCGTGCTCATCGTAAGCAGGTCGTCAGTGCTACACCATCGATGGATCACGCGATCAGCGGCCCTCGAGGGAAGTACCTATCACTGACCGTCCATTTGACAGTCTCAGACTCTCGGAATGCCTCTCGGGATGTCCGATATCGTACATAATATCAAACTATTCTCACTCAAGGAAAAAGTGCCACGTGACCCTACATCGCTATTGGAACAGCTCATCGCTGTCATTTCTGGCTAAGTCGGATTTGGCCTCAAATGAAAGTTATAGAAAAGCCCAGGAGCTCTGTGAGAGACATCCTGTTCAATGCAGAGAGCAGTAAATTATAACCCGACAAAACCCTCTCCCACTAAAGTCGGGGTCGGGGATAACACTTCAATAATGTAGCACGAGTAAATTATAATACATGGCAATTCGAGATTATCAATTACTGGACCTGCGTCTCCGTCGCCTGCTCTTGGGCTTAGGCGGAGAGGGGGACGCATCCGAAGTCACAACTGTAGTAACAGAAATGTTGTGATTCTCTTTCAGTGCGTTAGTCTTTAATGGAGGCGCCAGGTCCCCAATCCTTTTCCAGGGTTTATATGTCCTTTCGCTGGAGAACAGCTTTTCCACCATTTGATTTACACCCCGAACAGTATATTCTGAGAATTTGCCTGTGGTCCACTCGTCAATATTCCGAACAAGGAAGTAAACCTGCAGAATGTCGCTTGGACGATCAAGTTTCCACTCGTGGAACACATCGTTTGATGATCGACCACGGGGACCACAATACGGGGCAGACATCATGACCTGCAATGCCATAACTTCATAAAATAATACAGATTAGAATAAATGGACATACCGTCTTTCCCTTTGATTCCTCACACCAATCAACATGCGCGCGGACAACTCCATCTGCCCAAATAAGCCCCGTGACAGGGGCATGAATACCAAGGGAGTGTAAATGCCGGACAGCAGCAGTTGTTGACATGCGGTTCTGGCGATATGCATCATCAAGAAGAGCGTGTACTGGCTTCTTATCCTCCCAGAAGCTGCTTGCGAACTCAAAGCCAGGCATATCGGGAAGCTGAGCACACGGAGTGCTCTGGTATCTGAAAGAAGATCTCTGAGCTGCATTACCGGCTTTTACTACGGCAGGGTGGTTCTTGAGGAGCTTATATGGTGACTTGGCAGAATGCGACAACGGTCGAGTCCGTGAAGCGGGAATGAAGATTGCGCAGTCAGGGATGACGGTCTTTGTATTCAATACACGGGGCACATCGAAGGCGTTTTGAAATGTGTCTTGCGGTTGTGGGAGCGAAATCGCGCATTGCACCCTGATGTCGTTCGTAAGTGGCTTAACTACAAATGTAGAAGATATGAGACATACCGGAAAGTGCTTTCTCTGATTCCAGAAGTCCGGAATACGTTGTATCTGTAATATGTCAGAGCCTTGTATTTCGATGTTCAACTAATGCCTCACACGTTAGCCACGAAGTCCGCCTCAGACCATTTCTCTTTGGAACTCCTCATTTGTGCCAAACGCTTCCATGCACTGAAAACGACACATACGTCTTCAAATAGTTCGTTGCTTGCACTCTGGTCGATGGAGAAGAGTTCTGGTGCTGTTCGTGAAGCATCTGCTATAAACTTGGCAAAACCTGCGCTACAGTCAAAAGACTGCACGAGTTGCATTGCATGAACACCATGATAATGGGGATTTGAATAGTTGATACACGCGCCGCTTACCCTGTCTAACCAGGAGCGAGGAATTCGCTTTGTGGTACCAAAGAGATTGTCCACATCCTCTTGAAATTCAGAGGGAAGGTCAGAGAGAGAAACTTGTTCACAACATTGATGTGACGACCATGTTTCAAAATTGCCCAAATTACGAGCAATTCTGAGTGGCGATTAGGTCGGGTGGTTAGAGAACAGGTTGGACCTACTCAGAAGCGGATACAGCTCGTGGTTGACTGGACGACTTGTATTTTTTCTTGGAGTCGGACATAACCAAAGATCATAACTATGGTTCAAATTAATAATACATTGCCGAGACAGGGTTCCTGAGTACAGACCACCGAGCGCTAAGCTGCCCCGGTTGCTTTCTGCATCTTATCCAACAAAAACTGGTGGAATCAACTCTATGTAACATAGTACAAGTATAAGTCTGTCAGTGAGTGGTAATTACAAAGGATCTCTGTTTCCGAGTCATGGTCGCCGTAGTACTTATTGTACATTCATAAAGGTCCGTGATATTCAACTGGGTCCGGCTAGATGAATCATGAGCATACGATAGATCACTGAGAGAGGTAACTCACCGTAATCGTAATATAGATGTTTGAAGATGGGACCATCCTTCTTATCCGATGATGTGAACTTCACATGTCTAGCGTATCTCCTCTCGCCGTCTAATACTTCAAATCCCCATGTCTGAAGAGCATGAGGAACGAATAAAACCAAACGATAAACTCGTACCAGTTCTGCCTTCCACTCCATGCCACTTTTTGAAGTATCACTCCGGGCTACAGCGAGAATCAACCCGTCTTCAACTGCATCTTCCGTCCAGCCAGACCTCAAAAATTCATCATCCACTTCCTCAGCCTTGACTCTCTTTGATTGTGCTATCAAAGCACCAAAAACATCATCGTTTATGTTACGTTCCTCCCAATCGAGAGTGCGATACTCAGTCGTGCCTGAGATACCGCCAGATAGAGTCTGTTGGATATCTATGTGCTCAAAGCCGCCCTCGTCGGCATAGTGCTTTACCACAAGCGTCAGCGTAAACATCGAGATGGCACGCCGCTTGAACCAAGATATGCCCTGGAGCTTGAGGATATCGTCGCTGTCATCGCTCAATGTCTTGTTCTGTCACCAGGGAATACAATCAGAATTATCCCTACGATGTACATAACCTGAGCACAACGAACCATGACATATTTCCCAGTGAGATTCTTGGTCGTTACTTCGGGAGGCGCAGCCATGATGGGCAGAAATACTAAGTGTGATGAGACCGACGGTACTTTATGAGGTCCCAAGATATCGCCGATCTCACAGTGAGCTATTGTTGGAATCCACGTGGCTGCTGTAACATGCAGTGCACAAGTTCTACCGACAAACTGGCCACATTCATGTGAATGGTCACCAATCAACATCATGACGGAGCAACTTGTCATAGATGAGATGAGATGAAATGGCTGTAAAGGGACACTTATTGAAGATCGATATTCATGCCCTGTGCACCTAGACCCGTGACAAGTCCAGTCACCACGTCAAATAACGGCGTAGTGTATATCAGGCTGGTCACGAGCCTACCGTACAGCTTCGCGACATTGCCAGGGGATGGGGGATACGAGGAGAGGAGCTGGAAATTGTCGCGGCGAAGGGTTGTAATTCCGAGACGCGATTGCTCACAAACTGAACTCTCTTGTGGTACAACTTCAGCCCAGTGATGAATTCCATTTGTGATATATGTTCTATAAAATCGTGGCCCATTCAGAAGAAACCATCCATGAACTTCCGCGAGGCTTCGACACCAAGCTGCCATAACCAATACTGATTAGAATACAGTAACAGAGTTAGATTGAGGAACAAAACGTACGAATGTGGCAGCATTAGCTGGGAAAGCCTAAAACAATATCACAGTATGTAAGCAATGTTCGGCATAATCATGGAAATGACATACTCTAGCCATCGCTGGACCAAGACCTTTCCATAATGCAGTAATCCCATCACGCGCTACGGTCTTTCTAAAGCAATCGAAAAGTCCAGAATATGTACCAGAAGGTGCAGATTGTATGCGGGATTTCAAAACCTGTTGAAGCAACATGAATAGAATCCTGGAGAGATTTGTGGTTCGTGAGGCCTTACATCTGGGGGTATAGCTATTGACCACATTGCAACACCTGCAGTTCCGCCTGCGAACATGATGGCGCCTAGGTTGAGGTCTCCTGCTGACGGCCCAGCCGGCGTCAGGGCCTTCTTGGTAACTTCATACGCCGCAAAGTAACTGAGGAGCGTTATTTCAGTCCAGGTCAAAGTGTTCTCAAATGTCAGATGTAAACTTACACAGCACTGCCTGGTCCGTCGCGAGCGATAGTTGCACCAGTGCCTCGAAAAATACTCCGTATACCACCTTCCCTGTAAAGGTGCTTCATAACATCGAAGACACCTTTGTATTGGGGCCCTGAACCTCCTTGACCTTGCACCTGCAGCAGAACCTTTGCTCTCTCAACAGGTGCAGTAATGAGGGTCGTCGGTACGGCAGACAAGAAACCGGCAGCGGCAAGTTCTGCTGTAGAAAGCTTCTCGGATGTACGATTGGGTGTGAATGCGAGTATCAAATTCTTAGAGGCATCGTATGCCTGGAGGTAGCTGTCTCAGCAAGACGCGTAATTTAGATATAGGCACCGTATATTTACCCAGAAGGACACTGCAAAGATTGGAGTGACTCCCAGCAGTGGAGGTACCATTCCACGATACAAGCTGTTGATTGAATTGAGAGTAGCCCTGAGCATAGACACAACCACTCACCCAGTGACACCATCTCGAGCTAATGTTTTCCTCACAACATCAATTGCACCAGTGTACGCGCCAGGAGCTGCGGTCTGTAACCGGGTCTTGGTCAGGTCAAAAGGATGCCCTAAAAACGTATCAGCGTATGTCAAGATGCGCAAGTCAAGCCCTCTTACCTACGAGGACAGCAGAAATTCCTCCAAAACCTCCTGCAATAAACGATTTTACGTTGTCAATTGCCGAGTTCTTGGCCTCCTCGGCTGCTGGTGCTTCGCTGCTCTAAGAATTTGTGTGAGCGTGCTGTGCACTGAATGAAGGATGGTTCTGACCATGCTGGACGGTGCGAAGTCTTGGGACGAGTATGAGAAAAAAAAGAGAACAGTAAGCGAGGAATACACTGCGGTGCTCCGACAAGGAAACAAGGACCCTTCGGATGCGTTTTCATATGATATTCACGCGTCAGTTTAGTATGACTCTTTACAGCCGGCTCCCCGATCAAACTCCTACACCAATGGTTAAGCTTTCACAAGCCGCCTTACCCCGCAAGTACTGTATGATGTAACATCTAGAAATCGGACAGAGAAACCCACATGTTGGATGTCTCAAGTTGCACTTCGGAAAATCATAGCATAACTAATGTCACATAGAATCTACAAATTAGTCGTAAAGGATTCATCACCGTCCTGTTCAAATCCACCAATCGGTTCATATGTGGCTTCAGTAACATCCCTCTTCCATACTGTCCGGACAGCATAGAAGAACAAGCCTATCAACCCAACGCCAAGCGCTCCCACGAAGAACGGCGCGAAATATTCGATCCACCATGGCGGATGATACGGGACGAGCATGCGGTCAATGGTGATAACGCCGCCCGTACCTCCGCCCGTCGTTGCTCGACCCCACGTTAGGACGCGTGCCCAGTCAGCTTGTTTGTCTGTCCCCCTTGCGTTCTTGATCCCGACCATGTACTGGGATACTTTGTCGTCCAACGCCCGGAAGACAATATCACCATACGCCGAAGAAGGCGAAAGGAGAGTGGGATATTCGCCCAAATCTTCTAGCGGAAGGGGTCGGTTGTTATTCAAGACATCGAAGACGTTAAATGAACCAGATTCTCCCGCAGATGATGTGCGAATGAGGTGTTGGCTAACGATTGCACGAAGAACGTCGATATTCTCGAGGAGCTGTGTGAGGTTGTCATTCTTGAACGCATCATCCGTTGGACAAAGTACGGTCCAACTTGCACCACCTAAACCCTGGTCTGCCCACTCTGAACCTTCAGGAGGAGCAGTTCCATTCAGGATCCAGTCGAATCCAGCTTTCGTGACCATGTTAATCATAGTGGTGGCCTTGGCCGCTTTCATAAGCTTTCCTACATTTAACTCCACGGATCGCGGGATCATAAGATCTGACAGCTCGTGTATTACGCCAGTTTCGGTGAGCATGTTTGTGGGATATAACGCGCTCTTCATGCCAGCCCAGCCACCGCTGGGGCTAACGATAACGGATAGATTTGGTAGGCGCTCCAGTTGTAAGTCAGATGTTTCAAGGGTGGCGAAAGTGCGCACAGAGCCGTTAACGAGGCTCTGGGAGTATTCAATACCGTCTATGATATGGTGCCTTATGACGCGCTCCAAGTCCGTCTTGGATGACGCAGCTAGCAGATGGTCGCTGACCAGCTTACCGAGCCGCTTGAAAGCAGCATTGTGAGGGATGAGGAACGTTGCGCGGGGCGTCTTCTTGATATCTTCTGCAATGGACGTGGAGAAGACTGCGGCAAGGAATGAAGACAACTCTAGAGAGGGTAGAGCTGTTTGAAGCGGGTCCACAGGTGGTTCCAGAGGTGAGGAGATGAAGTAGACAACAGTGTTGTTGATAACAACTAGCTGTGATTCAGTACAAACAAACTACATCGTTTGGAAATCACTCACGGTGCTCTCCAACAATACCAGCTCCACCAAACCTGATATGTCTGGATGGGGCATCCTGCTTCTCATCGTCGTTGACCTCTACGTGAATAACCTGACTCCCATTACCAAGACCTGGCTCCTGAAGTACACTTTCTAGAAGCATGCCGTCTGCCAACTTCTTGGGCGTCCATTTCCCAGGGAGAAAGTGGTACTGCAACATCCTCTTCAGCTCATCGCTCCCCTGTTTGGGTAAGCCGTCATTCCCGAAAACGGATAAAACATCGTCCTTCGGTGCTAGGATGGTGTATTGAGTCTCGGTATCATTGATGAGATGAGTAAGATTGACTGAGTGTATGAGAGAAATAAACAAAGTGCAGTTGAGGGCAAGAAGGTATTTCTCAGGTGTTAGTTGAAGGGCTCCTGGTGGAACCAGCAGAGAGGACACGAGGTGTAAGACTCCATTACTCGCATAAATATCGGGCTGCGAAAGGGTAGCGCCTGATACTGTAGTCTTCCCTTCGGAGACGACAACTTCCAACTCAGATCCATATTCAGTAGTCACTGCACTCCCAATGTCAACACAATAATCACGTGTACGCATTGTTGCTTACAGGTGGTGGTTGAGTCGAAAGTGTCCGACCATCTGACACTCTTCTCGACAACAGCATGCATGTTGAATATGCGCAGGAGATCATCTGCAGCAAATTGGCTTTCAAGGTATAACCGCTCAATTGGATCCAGCGCTTCCCATGCAGAATCGACGGGAATGAACAACGTAAGCTCAGAGGTAGAGTTGATAGCATTGAGCATGCTAGGTGTGAGGACCTTCTGAAAATATGACAACGATGATTCATGAGACAGGACACGGCCTAGGTGAGTGAGTGAGAAAAGTGTTGTGGTGTATAAGAAGAAACCAACCGAGGTGGAGTGGAACATCAAGGACGTGAGCAATCCCATACACGACACCATTTGCCGCCTCCACCTTCTGTTTCTTCACTTCAATACCCCCTTGTCCAAAAGCATCAACACCGACCCAGCCTACGCCATCTCGTGAAGTGATGCGTAACTTCTGAGATTTGTTGCCCAGAGTGCTCTCGGGTATTGGCATCCATGGGGGAGGCTTATTAGCAGGAGAATCCAGGGGGAATTTCGGGAAGTGGAGTGTGTCAAGAACTCGCAGTGTAGTCAAGTCCTTTGGATCTTCAGTTACGGAGTAATTAAGGAGGTGGTAGAACAGTTGCTGACGTAGCTCCTCTTGCACATTGTCTTTGAGCAAGTTAGGATACTCGAGGGCTGACCTCCAAAGATCGTGACGATTAATTGCGTCGTTAGTTGGCGCGAAAAGGGTGCTGCCATTCAACTTGTTCAACGTTGGGATGAGTTTAGCTTTCTGCAGGAGAGAAAGGAGTGATGTATAGTCTTCATCATTACTGAGAACGTCGACTAATGTTTGGGACTGAATTGTTGCATCTGAATTCCATGCAACCTGAGTAGCCGTGGAAAGTGCTACCAAAGCCAGGAGAGTGAGTGGTATGCAGCCCCAGAGGCGCATTCTGGTATGAGTTAGCTAGCACTGAGAGGCTGGCGAAAGGGAACGTCAAGGAATAGTACTAAAGCCGCGCACCGCAGTCTGCGAATTAATATGACGAAGGTGGCTAAGTCTAGTATACGTAGTCCGATCTTGGCCAGAAACAGTCGGAAGCACAAGTTTTCCGGAAGCATATTCAACAAGTTACGGTCGCCTGCCCTCCTTCACCTTGCAGCAGAACAATAGAAAGCTTACAACGTCAGGCAGCCTACTCTCTACGCCCTGGCATGGTCCGCTCCGCGTGAATCAAACAATCTGAACTCACATTCGCTGCACAGATGTTAGATCTCCTGAAAACATTCACCGGCTCTCCAGTTGGTGCATTTCACCAGCTGGTTCTACCTCATGTCACTCTCATAGTGCGCAGTCCATCTGCTCAATTTGAAGTTCATACTGACTCAATATCCTCTTTAACTAGCTGTACCCCTCTGCAGACACTGTAGTAATCCTGGATGCCAGCACTCTTGACCTCGTGCGCGTGCTCACCTTCGGGGAAATCTATCCTGGCACCCAGCACCTTAATCAAACTATATCTTGCGTGGCGGTCGACTCCGCCATGAAAGTCGTACGTGTATCTCCTCTTTTACTCTCCCTCCTGCTACGCCTAATTTCATGCTCGAAGTAGATAGTTGCTTCCATGGACACGCACATTGCCGCATGGTTATTGTCAGGTAACAATACCTGGAGAATTCACTCTTCCATTTCTCTCCAAGATAGTGGCTCCGTCACAGCTCTGGACTGCAGATCTGGTACTAGTCTTGTGTACCCTTTATGAATCAACTATTGATTTCCATTCAGGGCTTCTCTCAGTTGGCAGTCAGAACGGCCTATCCGTCTACACGTTGATATTGGAAAATGACCTTCTCACATGGTCAAAGAAGTGGGAAGTAAGGTACAGCGGCGCATGTTCCTTTGCCTCAATATCATTTTCACCTCGCTCGTCAGGGTGGCAACCCCGTCTCTCGCGAAATTTGCTCCAACTCTTGCATTTATTGCCACTATATCTCACGTACGGGACCTCGCGCTCCGCTTCTGATGCCCACTGAGCTATGATTTACAGCACGATGATTTGGTTAGATTATATTCAACTACTTCCGGTCGCTTGGTACAAGACATTCCTCACCCCAGGCCCGTTACGGACTTGATGTGGAGGTTTTCTCAGGCATCACGAAGGTCGAGCATTTCAGACACTACTTTTGACACGAGGCTTACACATTGAGTGCAGTGATGACTCCGCACTCTACACCATTACATCTGATTCCACGCTGCGGATATTCCTCCCTGTGATTGACGCACCGCATCGTCTGCAGTTGCATGCATCCCTCGACCTTTTCTCTTCGCTTCCGTTCCTCATCGCAGCAAAACTTGGATCGCATTCAAGGAAGTCTACGGTCATGTGGTTGGACAAAGAAGTCGTCCGACGCACGATCAAAGCTGTCCTAGCGTCAGCTACCGAAGATGCAAGTCTTCAGGTCAAGAGGTTGCGAGAAATTGATGAAGAAGGTTGGGATCTCTTTATTCGCGCTCTTGCGGATGGCTCTATGCTGGTCAGCGCCGTCGCAGTAGGTGTTAATAAGATCTATTCATTTGACGCAAATTCAACCGGGTTACAGAATATTGACCGCAGACCTCCGACGCTCATACGTCAATTTGCCCTTTCACATACGAGTTCGAATGTTCTCTCCCAGCTTCCTTCTCATCTGTACCTTTTCCCACATCCTAATGTTACCAGCTTAATTATGGTAACATCTGCTCCCCTCACTACATTCGAGGTGTCGCCCTTAGCCTTCTTTGATGGTCAATCCACAGGATTGTATCTTAATGCCAAAGGACTTGATAGGTTTCCCCATGAGGAGAGCAAGATACGAAGACTGGTTAGGACGCCCGCCGGAAGAGGCGTTGCAGTCGTACGCGTCGATGGAGGGGAAGTCTGGCGTGTCATTGAAGGGGGTTCTCAGCTCGCCCGAGGAAGACGATGGTCTAACGCAGACCATGTTGTGGTTCTGGATGGCGGTAAGATGATCTCGTTTTGCACGACATATGACCTGATTTTTGGTGCAGGTAAGCTACTAGCGACATACTCGTCCGAAACCTCGGTCTTGACTCTACATTCGGAGCCCATTTCGACGCTTACAATCCTTTCCATCACCGACTTATTTTCGGCACCTTCGAAGACGGCGCATGAATGTATTGTTGGCCTGACTTCAGACAGTTCCATCGTATACATATATATTGAGAGCAAACCCAATCCAACCCTACGTCTACATTCCAAGAACAATCTACCACTGGCCCAGCCACCAAAAGTAATCATTCCCGTCGATCCAATGTCGTGGAGTAGGGATAGCTCCTTGGAGGAGCATGACACATTACTCAGTATCTCTGACGATGGCGAGCTTTCGTTTTGGATAGCAGACGATGGAACACCCTCTGGATGGAGATGCACAGGCAAGGTCAAGACGGGAAGGAAAAAATTCGCTCTGGCAAGTTGCAGCTCTGCGAAAAAGTCTGTTCTAGGTGAATAAGTCTTTCATTGTAGAGCTGTGATAGCTGACATCTATACTGTCTTGATATTTCAGTTGTACAGCTGCCGGATGGTCAAGAGCTTACAATCTGGGACTCGAAAGAATCTGAATTCGCCTCAGGTCTCGAGCATCGCAGAATATTCAGGTATGCGGGATAGTCTGTTGTTAGCACTGTCTCATTCATCATTTCGATAGTACTTCTGAACATATTAACGACTTGGACTGGACATCAACACCTGATAATCAGTCGATTCTGGCTGTCGGTTTCACGCATCATGTCGAGCTGTTGTGTCAGCAAAGGAAAACTTACTTTAATGATGACCCTGCGTGGGCTATCTGCTGGAAAGTGGATATCAGAAAGTACGTTCGGTGTTCCAACGAGCCTTGAGAGTGGACTGAATTCTCGCCAGTTACATCTCATATCCGATCCGTGATTCAATATGGCTCGCAAATGGGTCCTTCTTGATCGCAGGGGGTCATCAGTTGTTTCTCTTTGGTCAAACAGCACTTCAAAAGGATCAGGAACCCCTATTTCAGTACGTTGCTCGACATAATGGACCCCTGGAAGATTACCATCCGCAAATGCTCCTTCAGTGCTTGCTTTGGGGTAAGTGTTGTGGATGGAGTAGGACATTGATCTAATTATTTTGTAGGTAAGGTGGAGTTGGTGAAGCAAATTATCGTTGCTCTGTCTCTAGCCGTGAGGGCTATATACGAAGACCCTACGCAGGATTTTCACTGGAATGCCATTCCTGTGGAACAGTACCTGCGTGGTCAGTATATGACATCTGTAAGCTGTTTCAAGATTCTGTCATCACTGGTGATAATTATCTTCCAGAACAAACCTTCAAAACGATATAACTTCTTGTTCAGCACCCCGCAGGAGAACTCGTTGTAAGTGTTCCCCTGTAACAGCATATGGGACTTGCTCACATATTGAAGACCGGATGAAACCGTCTTCTCCCGCCATATGGTGGAGACGCTCATCGAGCAACTTGAAACGCGACCTCTTCCTCATTTGACTCCCAATGAGCACGCATGTCTTCTAGTTCTCATCCAGACGACCCTCGAGGTCAGTGTCCGAATGCATGGCAAACCATCACTAACTCACCTTGTGTGTAGATCGAAGAACAGAGGCGAGCACTGGACGCTAACGGCCTTCGCTATGTGATCTCTATGCGGTCATTTTATATCCTCAACCGTCGAGTCACATCTGATCCCAGCAGTCCACGCTCAAACGGGACAATACCGCGATCAACAGGTTGGAGGGAACGCCTGCGATATCGTGATATGGTCTGGGCCTTTCACAGTGAGAGCCAAGGGCTTTTGTTAAGTACGTCGACGGCAGCGTGCAGTGGAAGGATGCTCTGGTCTGATGCCCGAGCCCTTGGAGTCTTCATATGGCTGAATTCGGTTGAATCCCTGGTATGTCCATTTTCACACTGGGTATCGAGTCATGTTGAGTTTCGGGGCATGCAGAAGGCTCACATGGAAGTCATCGCACGGAATGAATACATGGCTGGTGATAATCGTGACCCTACAGCATGCTCGCTCTTCTATTTCGCACTGGGCAAGGTGAAGTTGGTGCATGGCCTGTGGAAGCAAGCTGCATGGCACAAAGAACAAGCTATTATGCTGAAGTTCCTTGCAAATGACTTCACGCAGCCGAAACAGAAGACTGCAGCACTGAAGAATGCATATGCTCTGCTAGGTAAGCAGAGATTTGGTAAGTTTCCATACCCTCTTTGTGGATCCTGCCATTACATGATCGCTTTAGAGTATGCTGCTGCGTTCTTCCTCTTGGGAGGGAATCTGAAAGACGCCGTTCATGTTTGCCTCAGGCATCTGTCAGATTTTCAGCTGGCGAATCGCTCTCGCTCGTGTGGTGGAAGGAAGCTCGGATGGTCCTGTGCTGCGGGACATACTACACAATACGGTGATCCCTACCGCCTTTCGTGAAGGCAATCGATGGCTTGGAAGCTGGGCTTTCTGGATGCTCAATCGAAGAGACTTTGCTGTCAGGATACTGGTGGTGAGTGAAGTCATTCTTGTGCGTAACCCTTGAGAGTTCATTTGGTTAGACACCCTTGCGAGATATCGCCGATGCTTTAGATATACAAGTCATAGAAATCGGCGAACCCCACTACGATGATCCTAGTCTTGCGTTACTGTTTTCCCAACTCCGCTCCAAGACGCTGCAAACAGCTAGGGGCACAAGCGAGATATCAGGGCGCTCTGAGTTCAACTTCGTGCTCCAGATCGCCCGGGTGTTCTGCAAGATGGGCAAGTGCGATCACATGTCAAGCTAGAGTTTGGCTGACTAGCTTCTCTACAGGTTGTCATGCACTAGCGCTGGATCTGGTGCGTTCGTGGTCCTTTGAGCGCCCATCGATATCTGTCCCCGCTCCGACAGAACACCCACCAACACCGTATGCTACATTGCGGAGATCTCTTGCGCTAGATCCCAAGCTACGCAGACGTTCGTCAATTATGATTGACATGGACATTGCATCACCGGCTCCAACACGCAAAGTCTCTCCCGAGCGTTCGCTTGTCAGGGCACCCACGCAGGAGACCATCAAAGAGGAGGGTGACCTCTTAGCACGTAAGGCAGGCCTCGGCAGCCTACTTAAATCTGCTAAGCAGGACGTCCGAGTACCAGAGTTCAACATGGATTCGTTTTCATTTGTCTAATCCCTAGTAGATTCTGATCACCTCTCATGGGGTTGTGGACTTTGAATATGAGTGATGTAATTGTAACATTGGGCGATACTTACTTTTGAGGTCTGAGAACAAGCGTGACAAATATGCATCCACCCAAAGCAGTCATGATTGAATTGTTCGTAAAAATGTAGTGACAGAAGACCTGTAATCAAATGTAGGGAGGGCGGATAAGCGAAAGACTAAAGAGTACAAACAACTTGAAACTAGCACGAAAGGTTTTGTCGCCTGATCCGGGTGTACACTATATAAGGTATGACTATGGCAGAGGGTAGCCATGGAGTTGAGATCTCATCGCCTTCATTGCTCGCTATCAGATTCACGTTTCTTGAGTACGAGGTCCTTGCCCATTACACGCTTGAACACATCTTGCACATCTTCAACGACGGTTTCGAAGTGTGACGTCGCATCATACGAGCGTGTGATGTAGATATGATCTTGCTTCCCGTTGGCGACGGGAGTGTATATGGGGGAGACGGTCACGAATCTGTTGGATTAATCAGAATGAATGAGAGTAAAGAAAGGTGAAGAAGTGTGCGTACTTGTCGTAGATGCTGCCTAGGAGATGGAGACCAGGTTGTATTTCATTCTCAGGAGCGGAAGTCTCGACAATTGTGCTGACAATTGCAACATAGATGTTATCCGCGCATACCTTGTGTGTCGAGGACACCATCGCAATGTAGATATCTGCGCCACACCATGATGAGCATGACTCATATGAGACCATCACAAAACAGACGCTTACCATTCCTCCTATTTACCTGGTTTTGCGGGATAATAATTTGCACGCTATCGCTCTCCTCCGTACCAGGAATCGGGTGCTTCAAGATACAGATCGCTCTTACCACCTTACCATCTTCGACCACCCTCAGCTTGCCACCCTCCGCCTCCTTTCCCGCGCCAAAATAGCTCGGGTCACCAATAACCATCTTGGCACGTACGGTCTCTGCTCCACTGCGGACACCTGCAAATGATCCATCCTTGTTGAGCACGATCTCATCAATCGGCTTATCAAGCATGTAGGTCCCGCCATAGATTGCACTCAAACGTGCAAAGGATTGGGGAAGCTCTCCAAGCCCATAAAGAGGGTAGATGTAAGGGGATTTGCCCCATCGTGCCATAGAGGTGGTGTACAGGACAATACGCTCGTAAGTCTCGCGAGCAGGTTTGTTAATGTAGCTGTGGAGACGTATTAGTGGACTTGACGAGGTGTGGAGAGATTACACTCACTCATCATCGAGATAGAGTGCCAGAGCATGCCCGATGAAGTCTTGAGTGCCGGGTTCTAATCCGAAGTGCTGGTATACTTTCCTCATACTATCTTTATCAAGATTCAATCCTGTCCCCGTGTTAAAATGATAGAGTCTTCACGTCAACACATGTTTATGCAGGCTCTCACCTTGGTGAGTTGTCGGATCTTCTTCCTCCCACTTCTGCAGGAATTCAAAGAATTTCTTGGCTCTATACTTCTCAAACAACCCCATCAACGGGCTCCTCGCTGCCTCTACTTCCGTGCTCGGGACCTTGCTGATCTTACCATTCTTATACACAAATGAGCCAGCGATCTGCTTGAACTCAAGGTATCGCAAGACATCAGTGTGGACGAGTATTTTTACGAGTTCACCGGAGGCGATGATGAACTTTGGGATAAGATCAACTGCATAGTCGCGGTCACGACCCAGGTCGGCGGGCGGAGATTGTTTTGGGCGAAATTTACGATAGAACTGAAATCGTGTGTATTCGTTAGGTTGTCGAGTCGTTGATTCCGCTGCAAGAAAGACACCTACCTGTGTTAGATTCAAACTGGCAGACTCTCCACCATAATAATCGTTTCTGTCCATGTGGAGGACTTTCTTCCCCTCCACGGACAACAGACCAGAGAGGATACATTCGGTGAGGCCAGTACCAAGGACAATGACCTAGATCGTGCCAACCAAAACCAATGATCAGATGCCAGTACAGATGTAATCAGGGGCGATTAATTACATCGTATTCTTCATCCATCGTGATCGGCTATGCGGACTGAGTGTTGAAATGTACTAGGACTAGGAACAATAGGTAGTGGAGGACGTTATGGAATGGTTGGCGGTTGAGCTTGGCTGATAATCTGGGCTGGGCAACCTGGACCATGCTTACGGTTGCTTACTACTTATAGTTTAAATTAGCACGTGACCCCTAACATAACCGATACGCATATCGATTCGGTCTTGTTCCTGGACCTCGCTGCAGTAAAGAATTCAGTGCTTCAAGTTTTCAGCCAACGGCGTGAGCATATGTACGTGTCAGTCTATGAATCGGTAAAAATCGACATGATCCATACTAATCAAAGAAAAGACTTGTCACATACTACATCCCCAGCTGCTGGATTAATACATATCATTAATGTCGGCCTTACTCGTTCAGCAGCTTATCATGGAGAACTCGGATAGATGTGCTCGTCTTGATTTTTTCCCCCCTCAGACCCAACGCAAGGATAAATCGATCAATTGCATGCAACTTCACTATACACATTGTACAGACACAGTTTGATTTGTTCTTGTAAAGGCTCACTCCACTGAGGAAAAGCTTAGTCAGTACTAGAAGTGAGAGGATGGGAGGTACCCACCATAGTCATAGTACAGTTTGACGTCGATCGGTTCAGACCTTTCCTTCGTGGTGAATCTGAAGCGCCGGGCAAATCTCCTGACACCTTCGAGGATGACAAAACCCCAAACCTGACGTAGATCATTAAGATCACGCTATGTCCACTAGACCGAACCCATCAAACGCACCACATTTATGACCCAGTCCCTCCCGGACTTGGCGGTGTCACTTTTCACGATACCGGCAATGAGGCCATCCTCAAGGGTATCCTCTGACCAACCTTCCTTCAAGAAATCAATATCAAGATCCTCGACCTTTGAACGCCAACTTTTGGCGATCAGATGCCCGAAGAGGGAATCCTCCTTGGAAACCTCCTGACCATTCAAAACTAGACTGTCTGCAGGAGCTTTGAAGCCTCCCGAGAGTGTCTGTTTAACATTAACGTGCTCCACACCGTCATCGTCCGTGAATTGGGTGGGTTCCAGTGTAAGGGTGAAGTTGGCAATAGCAGTACGCTTTATATAGCCAACGCCCTGAAGTTTCAAGGTGTCATCAATGTCGTTGCTCAGCGCTTTATTCTGCGATATATCGTGAGCGTTGTGCGATAGTGCATCAAAATAAGGACCCACGAGTCTGAGTTTTCCTGACAGATTCTTAGTTGTAACGGTGTCAGGACAAGCCATGGTGAGAAGAGATCGTAAATGAGTGGAAAACAATAAGTAGCAAGGGTATGATGCCTTGCCTTCTTATATTGCGAGTAGAAAGCCTTGATTTCATATGGAACGAGATAAGGATTCTATCAACTCGATATCCCCGGGCCACGACCCTTGACCGAGTGATACCCCTTTGAGAATAGCGCGAGTTCTAAAACGAGATTTAAACACTTGATGAAGTCAAGTTATTACTTACTTCGGGGATGCGCAGTTGACTGCCGAGCCTTTGTGATCAGCACAGGCGAGAGCCATCAACGTAAATTACTAAAAGCTGGACAATGGTACGACAATTGTTCTTGTCATCAGATCTCAGCAAGGGTAACCGGTCATGACCTCGGTCATGCCCGATTACCCTAGATTTGGTGTTTCTTTGGCAACATTGCGCTCTGAGAAGTAATCAAGACCCCAAGTTCGAGGACTCGAACAAATAAAGTTAAACGTAGTGGTTTGCCATAGCAGCTCTTATTGTACATTCATAAAGGTCCGACTAGGAGAAAGATGTCATGAGCGTATAGATCACTACGAGAAATGACTCACTGTAATCGTAATAAAAACGTTTGAGGATGGGACCATCCTTCTTATTTGATGATGTAAATTTCAAATGTCTTGCGTGCCTCCTCTCGCCATTCAATATTTCAAACCCCCATGTCTGAAAAATATAAGGGACACGAGTAATACGAAGCGATGAAGTCGTACCATTTCTGCCTTCCACTCCATGCCAGTTTTTGAAGTATCGCTCCAGTCTACAGCAAGAACCAACCCGTCTTCAGCTGCCGCGTCTTCCGTCCAGCCAGATTTCAAGAATTCATCCTCCACCTCCTCAACTTTGACTTTCTTTGATTTTCCGATCACAGCACCAAAACATCATCGATATCGCCACGTTCCTCCCAGTCAAGGATGCGATCTTCATTCGAGCCCTTGATACCGCCAGACAGAGTCTGCTCGACGTCTATGTGCTCGCCGGCCTCGTCTGTATAATGCTCGACGCTAAGCGTCAATGTAAACATCGAGATGGCACGCCGCTTGAACCAAGATAGGCCCTGGAGCTTGAGGATGTCATCGCTGTCGTCGCTCAGTGACTTGTTCTGTCACCCATGGGCACGGGACATCATCAGAATCGTGGCTATGACGTACACAACTTGAGCAGACGAACCATAATATATTTTCCGGTGAGATTCTTGTTGGTCACTTCGGGAGGCGCGGCCATGACGGAAAAAATGAGCCTAATCAGTAGTCAGTAGTCAACTCTACGTATACATTGTTTTATAATGTTTCAACATTCAACCGATCTCACAGTATTACTTTTGGTGCGGTCAGAATTTCACACGATCAATTCACGGGTGTATTTTGAAGTTCATATTGACATGGACGTTTGATCTTTGCTGGCGTTTGGCTGCCGACCTGTCAAGTTGTCTACCCAAGACCATTCTTGTAGAATTAGAATCATCGATGCCCATGATGTGATAGTTACACATAACGAGCAGCGCATGCAACGTTCAAGTTTGGCTGACGCTAGTCATCGATCTAAACGAAAGATTTGGATATTGAAAACCCATTCTTGTATAATCATAGTCAATACAACCTCTACCTTCAAGCAGGAAATGATTCTTCACTTATCACTTGCTCTGGTCGCCGCCTTCATTTCAGTGGCAGTAGCCCCTCGGGTACGCAATTCAGTCTCTACCCATGACCTTGCGATAATCGAATGCCGATCAAGGGAACAAGTGACTGGGGATGCAATGACAGTTTCTCACAGGTCCTAGGTCTTGCCTGAGCTCGAAAAAGGATTGTTATCATGAGAGAAAGGACGAGACACGCTATCATACAGATTTGGATGCGTCAGGGGCAGCTTCCTTTTGACGAGCACGCCGTGACGCAGAAGGAACTTCTATGGTCTGCCCATGGGAGACTAACTTAAATTTAGCCTTCAGCTGCCTTGGATCAGCGAAAAGTAGAACACTCAGTAGCATAAGATGTTACCTTCTAGTCTATTCCTGCTTTGGAGGAAATACTGTGATGACCCTCCATATGGCATCCTTGCCACGTTCCCAAGCTTGTGGTCCTCTGGCTTCATCCCCTCCGAATTCAACCATGATTCCGTGCTTCAACCACTCACACCAAATGCCAATAGATCCGGATGAAGGCCCAGCACCACCGCCTTTCCGATCAGGTTCTCCAAGGCAGCTGACGAAATCTTTACCGTTTGATGTGAGCGAGATCTCGATCGAGACTCGTTGGATGCCGAAGCCTCAGGTGCGAGCGATAGGTTCCACTTTGACATGGAGTAGGTAGAAAAGGCGAGCTCCGCTGTTCGACTGGATGTAGTTGTCTTTGTGGTGGTCGCCTTATGCTTTGGGGCATTGTAGATGTTAATGCTGTCAAGCACTAATGAATCAACTTGAAGGTCCTCGAGCTTCAGCCCTCCAGTGGGCTCGTACCCAGTTTTGAGGGATAAAGAGGAAGCTGATCCCTAGCGGATAGTAGTTGAAGTAGACTGCATCTGAATATGATTTCACATCGGGAACTGTCAAGCTCGTGTTGGAATGTTGAACGAGATCTTTCAGAAACACGGTTATGGAGTCAGCGGATGGATTGGCGCCCAGTAAGGTCTGGATACCCGGCACCATCTAGTTTGAATGAGCAGAGGAATCGATCAGTAAGTTTATCTGGTATTCGAGCACGAGCGTACGAGTAGGATAAGAGAGTTTCTGACAGTCCGCTGCTATGGATGTAACGACAAAATACCCGAGTGGTCACGTGGTAACATGCCTCATTCGGGTCTCGAACAACTAGTCTGACAGGCGGCGTGCTCAACGTGATGCTATGGCTTCATCGACACCAACTGCCAAGGCCGAGCCTGAGGACTCCAAGTCCTTCTCCTATGAAGGGCAGCATGAAGAGTATTCTTGGCTCGAAAATGCCATATCTAATACCATTCGGTTCATCATGAACCTCTTTCGCCCAGTAGCACCTCAGCTGATTCCATTATTCGTATGTCTCGCGTTAATTCCAGTCATCATACTTTTCTCCCTTTTTTCTGGCTGGTACGTTTGGAAGAATGTCGCTGTAGGGTGGGAGTCTTCTCTGTATCTGCAATATGGGTGAGGTCTCTTCCAGCCGTTCGGCTGTTGCTCATGGTACCTGTTTCGTTATAGCGATGGTATTTCGCCGTATGCTGAGATATCGTTACCATCTCTGGTACCTAGCCAACTCTATGATATATCCATGCACCTCGTTATACCAGCATCAGAGGCGAATTTTGCCCTAGGGAACTTCATGACTACTTTGACGCTCTCGACGCCTTCTAATAGAACCTTGACATCAATTAGGAAGCCAGTAGGTACTGAATGATATAGCCGCAGAGAAGATACTCACACATCCCAGGCTATAGTTCTACCACCTACAAAAAGCCGAGTATGGTCGTCGCCCAAATTAGTCAACCTTGACATTCTCTTCCTTGAGTCGCACGCACCCGGCGCGTCTCGCGTTATCGCCAGAGTGGAATTGGGGCGCAGGGATGGATGGAGGGCCCTTGGTAACGGTGAAGGACGAGAGTTAAGTGTTTTTTCTGCATTCCTGAGAGGGGCCGTCAAGCACCACGGAATTCGGTAAGCACATTTGTCGCCGTTTTCATTACCTGAACCTTATGGCCTGCTACCGTATAGGGGGCTTGTGACACGCTTCCCAGCCACTTTTGCTATTGTATCATCTGCCACTTTCCTCGTGATATCTCTTCTTGTGCTTGCGTCATGCATACTTCCCACAATTCAGTGGCGCTTCCCAAGTGAGGACGACGGATCTAATGAGCTGACCGAAGAAACCGCCAAAGAGCGCATATACCGCAAGAGGCGGCAAAGGAGAAAGTTATCCCCAAAGAATAAAAACGATTCGCCAAGCGTTCGTCTATTGTCGAGTTTTATTAATTGTATGCTGAACGGTATCCCAGGAATATAAAACAGAGGATGTCCCGATTGATATGCCTCCTGCGGTTACGTTCTCTGAACAACCATTGCGCCGGCGTCGCTCAAGAGCCTCAACTGTTTTATACGATTCTGAACCTTAAATGTTTCTTCTTGGACTGTAATTGTTTTGCACGGACATGTTTCATTGGCACTTTCGTGACGATTGTATTTATAGTTATAGTTCTGTCGCTGGTAGTAGTAGGTACAATCTCAATGTCTTGTAATTCCAGTGCTGCACATCGTGAAGAGTCTGGTCTGTCGAATTCAATTGACCTTACGGTCGTTCTCTCGTAAATTGCCTACGCGGACTCTAAACATCGCGTCGGTTAAACCTTCGCATGGGAGATACCATCGTGAGCTTGAAAGCACAAACCTGCGTAGTATTGCTAAACATTTTCATATATAAACCTTTCCATGTAGCATTGCTGTTTAAACATTGGATATCCGAATGTAAAATCGCTTCAGGCGCCTAGTGGACTGCATGACAAGGTAAGGTTTAGGATACTCCGCGACAAGTATCATGCGAAACGCGGTGGTGGTCAAATGAAGAGCGCAAGTAATTTACGAGAGGACGGTCCGTAAGGTCAATTGAATTCGACATTGACAACGACATTTTAGAATTGACCAGGGTAGACAAGAGAAATTCAAAGTCCGCGAAGCACATGCTCCACATGTCTCGGTACCTCTTCATCCCTGAAAAATTGCCACTATTAGTACTGACTAACAAAGAATGCAACCTGACCCGCCAGGACGTGTCATTATTTCCATTTTACTGACTCCATTATTACTACACCCACTCTGAGCACAAACCGTACCGCTTAAATGTCCACACTGCACGTCGAAAATCTCTTCGCTGTCGCAGGGAAGGTAGTTCTCGTGACAGGAGGTTCTCGTGGGATTGGGAAAATGGTGTGTCCCAAAAATTTAACTGCGCGTGGTGGTAAGGACTTAGTTTTTCTCGCAGATTGCCTCCGCATTCGTGAGGAACGGTGCCAAGGTGTGTATTACAACCTCCTGGCACATGGAAGGGTCCTGACCTCCGTACCGCCCTGAAATAGGTCTATATCTCGGCCCGTTCTGCGAAGGAATGTCAGGCCACCGCAGAAGAACTCGGATCCAGTGGTCCAGGCTCATGCACCGCAATCCCAGCTGATATGTCCAAATTCTCTGAAGTGGAGCGGTTCGTGCAAGAACTCTCCGCGCGAGAATCCGTTCTCAATGTCCTCATCAATAACGCGGGAACAACATGGGCAGAACCTATCGACCAATACCCAGTGCGTCAATTACTGTCGCCTTTGTTTGTCTCACTGAATATCATACAACAAAGGATGAGGGGTTTTCAAAGGTCCTCACTCTGAATCTGCAACGTGTGTTCACTCTGATGCAAAAATTGCTGCCATTATTACGTGCGGGCGCAGCTCAAGATGGCAAGACAGGGGCCGTATATAATGATCCGGCACGTATTATCAACGTGAGTGCATGTTGAAACTTCGGAGATGTCCTTCTATCAACTTTTGATCCCATCAGATTGGCTCGGTCGAGGGCATTGGTGTGCCCGATCATGACACATATGCCTATGCTGCTGCCAAGGCTGGTCTGCATCACCTCAGTCGCCACCTCGCCGGCCGCCTTGGGCCCGAGGGCATAGTCAGTAATACCATAGCCTGTGGTGAGTCCGCTCTTTCATTTACTTCCCAGTAAATTCACCGACTTGCGTCGACATTGCAGGTGCGTTCGAAAGCAAGAGTAAATCCATCATGGTTCATTTATATTTTTGTCGTTTCATTGACTTGAATCTTACAGTGACGGCTCAATTTTTTGAAGCTGCGGGGAACATCATCATCAACCAGGTCCCGACAAATCGTTTTGGTACGCCCGAGGACATCGCAGGCGCCACGCTGTTCTTGGCAAGCAGGGCTGGTGCATACGTGAACGGTGCGACCATTGCCCTCGATGGTGGCTTTCTTGTCAACATGCCGATGAGCAAACTGTAAGAAGGAGCTCAACGTTATATGCCTTATCATTTCGCACTCAGGAAAATTATGCACAAGTAACCTAACCATTGACACATCCGGCTGGCAGAGTTCTGCACCTTCCAGACCAATTCCAGACACTAATATTTTCGTTCCACTTCCATGGCTGGTATATAGATCAAGCAGATATAATACATCAGATCATAAGGGTCATTTGTTGTCTTCCTTTGTCACGCTCGCGTCCCTAGGGTTTGTGCTTGTCGCTTCCTTCGCCTTTGCTTTCTCGCCACCCTTCTTGGGAACATCCTTTCCATTCCCACCACCACCCAAACTCTTTACCATATCCTCTGCATCGTCTCCTTCAAGCCCAAGCTCTTCGACTAACAACCTCAAATCGTCATCGGTGACTCTTACGCCCTGCAACCCGTACCCCTCCAGCTCCGTGCTTACATCAAAGTTGTCCTCATGCTTGTTCACTGGCTTCAACGGGGTATCTGGGTCACGGGAAAAGAATCGGGGCTTATGATGTTCCGGCGTCATTTGCGCGATGGGGACAGCCCCAGGCACACCAACGGGTTTGACCTCGGGCGCCGGACGATCTTCGTCGGTGGCGATGTCCCAGCTTTCATTCAGCCGCAAGAATGTAGCCAGCCCTTCAGTTTCGACAGCTTCTTCGCTGTATGGGGTAAATCACCATTGAGACACAACAGGTAGGAGAGAAGGCTTACAAAGCATCAAAGTCCTGTTCGGCACAACTGCGATGAGTACTATTCAAGAGGCGTGGATAAGGGCATACCCCACTAAATTTGCCGCCTACAAGTATACCTGGAAGCTGTTGCTTATCTGCCGAATCCGTCCGAGAGGCAGTGTAAGCGCAGTATCAGAGCAGGATGAGATCAAACGCACCAGGCGGGGCCTTACGCCTCCACAAACGTTTGGCATCATCGTCGGAGGCGAGATCATAGGAGGTGTATGGGATCTTCTTGGTTTGGAGGATGCGAAGAATATATTCTGGTTCATATGATGGTAGATTAACATGGCGCACGTTCAGCGTCTATGTACGAACCTTGGCGCTTCCTTATGACGACCTGCGACGCGATTGTCGTGAGGAAGACTTGGATCGGGGGTGAGGGCATGCGTGCTTTGGAACTTCAGGTGTTCATGAAGTCACGACCGTCCAAGTTCAAAAGCTGATAGGTATCACGTGAACGTGGACGATACGGAAGACCGAAAGCAGGAATTTGCTCCACCAAGTGCATACGTGGATCGCTTCAAGTGCATAGTGTCGTTAGGACGCAGATTGAAGCATCGCTAAGCCATGGGTTAACTGGTGGATCCATCAGACGGAGCTGTATCAAGCTCGATATAAATATGCATATCTGCTGTAATCTGCTGTGTTCGAGGTGATTTGGATCAAATGAAGTGAACTGATGGGCAGAGCAGAAAGCAACTTGATTTCATACATGAAGATGCGAGATATACAAATGGTTAATGATGGAAATATTGCGTGATGAATACATAACAGACAAGTGATCCTTTTCCTTTGTCTTCATTCCCCTCTGTTTAAAAAGGTCGGGACAGCACGTGCTATGACCATGGCTCGCACGCTCAATGGTGCGTGGGCATGTCAACTGACGCCTTGTTGCCAATGGCATCTTCTTGGCGCCAGAGACTCGTCGTGGTCTGCACCGATGAAATCGACAACTAAGTTCAAACACATAGGGCTTGATTAGACTTACCTTATTTTGCGTGTAGAAATTAATACCACTCTTCCCATAGAACCCGATATCACCAAGCACACTGCCCTTGTTACCGCTCCATGCAAACATAGGCAAAGGAACCGGAATAGGAACGTTGATGCCAACCTGTAGAGTCACGAGATGATATTGCATTAGCATCAGTCCAGGTTCCCTTGAAGCAGTGACCCAAAACCCCAACATCACTGCGCATGAAAGAATAGAAACACACCTGCCCCACATTAACCCCCGATTCGAATTTCCTAGCTGTCGCGCCCGACTGCGTGAAAATCACAGCACCGTTGCCGTACTTATTTTTATTGATAATCTCGAGTGCATTGTCGAGCGTGTCTGAGGTGATCACGGTAAGTACCGGGCCGAATATCTCTTCGCTGAGTGTAGCGATGAGTATCAGACTGTGACCAGTCATGCATGAGAGATAATGCACACCGGTAGCACCGCATCTCCACTGTTCCCTCTAAAACTGTTGGACCTACAAAGTTACCAGCGGAGTACCCAGGAACTTGAACGTTCCTCCCGTCAAGATGAATTCGCCCTCCTTCGTCTGCACAAGATGCGATGAGGCCCGTGACACGAGCTTTGGAGGCGGGAGAGATGAGGGGGCCACTGTGCGGTGCAGGTTAACGTTGCGCAGGTTCAGAGGATGGTGAAAGGGTACTTACAGATCTGCACCCTCCTCAAATCCTCCATTCACATTTAGCTTTGATACGCGTTCTACAAGCTCAGGGAGCCATGATTGCGCTGCGCCGACGAGTACAGCTATACATGCACAGATGCACCATAACGTAGGTGTCAAACGGCAGGTTCGCACGACTTACCTACTGAAACTGCCATGCACCTCTGTCCCGCAGCTGTCCAGGCACGATCGTGTCAGCACAGTCCACATTAAAAGGGTGGACGCCTACCGCCGAATGCAGCACCAATAATGGAGTTGAGCGCAAGATTCTTATTTGCTGTGTATTACGTGAGTTTCAGTCACACACAATGAAAGGTATCTTACCATCAGGCATGATTACCGCATGATTCTTTGCGCCCAAATTTGCCTGCACACGTTTGCCGTTCTTCGTGGCCCTGCCGTATCCATCGACACGGTTTCGAAGATCATAATTTAGCTCGTTCTACTCACCTCTCGTATATATGTCTTCCTGCGCGATCTCCCCCCACAAAGCTCACTGCTTTGATTGCCTCGTGATCACAGATTCTGTTGACAACAGGCACGGTCCCATGCACCACGTTTACTACACCTTCGGGGAGACCAGCACGGGCACAGAGCTCAGCAATGATCATGGCTGCACCGGGGTCCCGCTCAGATGGCTTAAGGATGAGGGTGTTACCAGTAACGGTGGCAAGGGGGATTGTCCAGAGGGGAATCATTCTGAATAGGGACGTAAGGAGAAGCCAGGGGCGTGTAGAAAGAGCTTACGCTGGGAAGTTGAAAGGTGCAATGCTGTAAGAGGTAAGTGTATGTTTGCGTGGGATACTTCAAAACGGACCTCGCGCAGACGCCGAGAGGGAGCTTTCGGACTTCTGTGTCCATGTCTTTGCTGACTGCGGTGACCTGAGCACCATGACCAAAAATTCAAACAGCACACAAACCTTCCAGTTTCTCGCCAACGATGTTGGAGGTGATACCGATGGCAGCTTCGACAACTTGAAGACCACGGAGGACATCACCGTGAGCATCTTGGAAGTGATTAGAGAGAATACCGAAAGGACCGAGAAGGTACACGTACCGGCAAGGGTCTTTCCCTGCTCGAGGACGATGCTATGAGCAAGTGCGTCTGCATTTTGACGGATCTGATACTGAAGTCTGAATGCAACGTAAGTGGGTCAGGTGTTGGTAAGGTGGGTATTCTTTCTCGAAGACGGACTCTATGGCAAAACGTTGGCGAGCGAGAACACTCTGCTTGCTCCATGACTTGAATGCCTGACTAGCAGCATCGACTGCCTGGTCAAATTCCTCCGTGGTAGTCTCAGGGACGCGTGTGAGCAGTGTTTGGGTCGACTGCCGAACAATCATTAACACTTGTTCTTACACAGTAATCTGGGACATAGACGTACAGGGTCGAGCACATCATGCCATTGTGTTGTCTTACTGTCGACGAAGGCGCCGCCAATGAAATTCTTGGTGTTACCTCCAGTTGCACTAGTACCCTGCCAAGTCGCGCTGAGATTCTCTGCCTTGGGACGTGCAAGGGCATTTAAGCCTGCTGTCGTAGCATAAGAGCGCGATGGACTACGGAGAGGAATACGAGCAAGACGAGAGATCGACATGACGGACGGGTCCAACGGGAAGGCAGACCGAGTGCAGCTCTCGGAGTCTCAAGTACTTTACGGTGCCCCGCGATGATCTCACGTGACTATAGCACGTGACGAAGACACGTGGATTTGAGTACTTTCAAATTGTGAGCTCGTCAGGGTGAACTCATCTTCTCGCTGTCGCGTACGTCCTAAATGAACGCCCCAATACCGAATGGATTGCCTGCTCACCACACTGGTCGACCTCAAGATCAGTTCTACAACCAGAGCATGACAGGCATCCTCAACCATCAAAACTGGCCGTCGATGAGCCAGAACCAATATCCTCACCAACCCCAGAACCATCAATGGCAACAGCACCAGCAAAACATGCAGATTAATGGTCGTCATACGGCCCAGCAGCAACAGCCAAATTGTAACGTGCCAGTTGCACCGAACGTGAACTCAATTCAGCACGCGTTCCCCAATCCGAGTTTTGATCTCGCGTCTGTCGTCCCACAGCAACTCATGCAGGACTTTCTTCGCCTGACAATTCCAGTCGGCCAGTCACCTAACGACGATTCCATTCTCGCTCAAGCTCTTTTCGACTGCAAGCAGTCCGGGAAGACGTATAGACAAGCTTTGGAGGGGTTACATGGTGTGCGTGTCATCTCTACTAAATCGTAACGTGCACATGCATTAATCACACCCCCTTAGGTCAATAATCATGCTGCCAACCTTTGGAAAGACTATTACCTCGACCACCACGACCGCTTCGATGTCCTCGTCGCTCGTCTAGCAGAAAAAAGCCAAACATCAAAAGCAGTCAAAAAACCTTTCAACTCCAGCCGCGCATCTACCTCTACGACAAAGTCTGCTTCCCCTCTAAACAATCGCGATCGTGACTCGCGAAAAAGACAGTCTTCACCTTCGCCACCACTCCGACAAAGTCGACCCCCCAAACGCTCTACACCTACCGCCATCAGCACAACTCAGTCCCTAGGCTACCGTCCTCCAAAACGTCCCAGAGCAACCCTCAACTCCCTCTCTGCACCTCTCCTCCCAACAAACCTTCCCTCCAAGCTTATGCCGCTTCAAGCAGATATCACCTTACCCCGTCCACCGTCACGAAGCCCTACGCCCCCAACAAGAATCGAAGCTGGGACAAATGGGAACAGGTACACAGAGGAGGATCGCGCGTATTTCTTGAAATTTATCAGTTGGAGGCTGAGTCAGGATGCGAGCCTGACGAAGAAAGAGTTATGTGCGATGTTGAATGAAAAGGTGGGGAGTTGTGCTTGAACACGTGTTCAATATTGAACCTGTACAGGCCCCACATCATAGCGCACCTTCCTGGGCATCTCACTGGCATTCCAGACATGACATTGCAGACAAGATCCTGCACTCCTTTCAGGGCGACGAGGATGAGGACGAAGATGAGGAAGAAGACGAAGAAGACGAAGAAAACTCAGACTCTCCAAATGCACTATCCGATGCGGTTGAAGACTCAGAAACTGAAGTTATTCGCCAGACAACATCCATACTTCGTCGCACAAAATCGGCTGCTCGTGTCCCAAACACTAAGATGGCTGCATCCAAATTGGGCGTCTCTTCCTCGCAACCCTCCCCTTCTCCCTCGTGTGGCAATCACGATGCCTCCGCCACGACAGATAATGACGAAGCAGACATGGGAGCAATTGGTGGTTCGTTCACACCTGCGGATTGGAGGATTATAGCCAGGTATGTCGCGCGCACTCCGGGGTGGAATGACATGGTAGGTCGGGAAAGATGGGAAGGCTTTCTTGAAAAGGTGAGTACTATCAAATTCTATATGCTGAATTTGGTGAATTGATCGTGTGCATTTGATGGTGTAGTTCCCGGATAGCGAGAGATCGGAAAAATCATGGGGTGAATTCTACAGGAGGAACGAAGATGGTGAGCACCTTCCTCTCGCATGTATGTCCTGAGGTTGTCTCTCATTTCACATAGCCATCATGTCCCTGGCAGCCCACTACAAAGGTACACAGTGGTCGAGTAATACTAGTATCAAATTGCAGCAAGGGCGGCCGAGTTGGGCACGCAACCGGGGGCGGCAAGGCACAGAAGGAACAGAGGAAAAAGGATCGGATGAAGATGGCGATTATGAAACAGACGATGGAGAAAGGTAGGGATATGCGGCAGAGAAGTTTTGCCTGTGGTCTATATAGGATGATATGCCGGTCGATATTTTGGCCTTGGCAAGGTACCATACTTCTTTTTGGTAATGATCTTTTGCAAATTCCATACGACATCTACGCATATGCATTCCTCTCTCTGTGCTATGAGGATGCTCGAGTACGCTGTTGGTGATACTTAATAATCAACTATTAAGTAATAATATAGGGGACAGCATTAGTGATGTTTTAATTTTGGACGGTTACTGTGCAGTGTGCGTCTATGTCTTTTCGCACAACCAACTCTTCATGACAGTCGCCTCAAACCGAGCTCTCATGGATCAAGGGCTCCGGAACAGTTCTTCTCGCGAGACAACAGCCCACTCAAGCGAGGAGAGATCAAAGTTTGAGGCAGGGACCTCAGAGCAAGGCCTCTATGGTCCAGACTCATTACTAGTAGGAGCCTCTCCTCATCCTCCACCACCCTCCACTTGTTTCTCAAGACTCGCTGATTCGTTTAGAACACGATCTCCTCAGTTGTATCATGTTGCTGATCGAGTGGTCAAATACATTCGGGGACCCAGGCCGAAGGTCGATCTTCCGAGTGAGTTTCTATGTTTTGAATTACTCACTACTGGTATTCACGATATGCAGACCCTGTGCCCCTCCTTGGTCGCACGTACAACTTCAAAGGCCGTCGATTTGCCATCGCACTCGAACCTGCAATCATTCGATTCACTCGTCCATTTACCGTTGCATGGCTTTTCGTCCTCCTCGTAGCAGCATATATCATTTCCTTTTCTTTTTTGGTCCGTGCACAATGGTATACAATCCCTGCAAGCTCTTTTGTCGGTTGTACATCCGTCTTCTGGACAGGAGACGCAGGATGCGGTCTGGACGGTAGCTTGTGCGCGCCGTTCAGTAATTCGTCTTTTGATTTTAGATGCCCGGCACAATGTAGCAGTGTTGTCCTGCAGAACCCGCGTGTGGTGGGCGATGAATCTGTGGATTTTGTACCGCTGCTTGTTGGAGGTGGAGATAGTCAGAAGACTTATAGAGCTGATAGTTTTATCTGTGCTTCTGCTGTTCAGGCGTAAGTTGTCGATCATTCATTTGATTTTCAACGCTGCAGACTTCACTCACGTGTTTTCTACATAGCGGTTTTTTCAGTGACTCGACAGGAGGTTGTGCATCTGTTAATCTCGTGGGGAATTTCACGAACTATTTACCTACAACTGCTTTCGGACTGTCTTCCATCGGATTTCCCTCTGTATTCCCGATGTCTTTTAGACTCTCACCGTCAGATGTTCTGACTCACTGCACCGACCTCCGCACACCGGCTCTCGCTTTCAACATACTTATTACATGTCTTCTCTTCCTCGTATTGCGACCCAAAGCTATCGTCACGTGGTGGTGCCTCGTCTGCATCGGATTTTGGCACATTGCATTATTCTCCCAGCCTCAAGCGACTCCACCTCCACTGGACGTCGCCTTTGGTGCATTCCTGCCTGCCCTTTTCGTCTGCTATGGTTTCTGGCGCGTTGCTGTGAGGTTTACATTGCCTTTGTTCGCAAACGCGCCGTTTGAAGCTATGATATGGTACCTTGCACCTTACTGGACTGGTGTTCTTACAAATCTTACCATGGACCAAATTCCTATTGATCGATTGACCGCAGCTGATATCAAGCAACAACCGGGGGGTGTTCTAGCGCTTATCATTATTGTCCTCATCCTTTTCGTCCTGGTGGTCAACCAGATACGTGTTATTCGGAAGACTGGCTGGCTGCCATACTATCTTGGGTGGTACATCATCGGAGGCCTCGTGGCGCTTGTACTGGCGTTGCTGCCTGGCCTGCAGTTCAGACTGCATCATTACATCATCTCGATGGTATTGTTTCCTGGTGTTGGTTTCCCAACGAGGCTTTCAGCGATTTATCAAGGGTTCCTCCTTGGAATGTTCCTTAATGATGTGGCTGCGTTCGGCTTTGACTCGATACTGCAGACCGCTGCTGATGTATGCCCTTTTAACTATGCATGCCCTCAATAGCTCATGTGGTGTTCAGCTTGTTGACGGCGGGACAACTGGCTCTCCCTTGCCCACTTTCCTCACGAATTCCACCACCTACAACGCCTCCGTTGCTCTCGCAAACCAGACCATTAGCTGGTACGGCATGCCTACGGCCATTGCCACGCAAGGCTGGAATGGCTTCGCATTACTCGTGGATGATGTGGAGGTGTACTTGGGCACTGCACTGAACTACTCACTTGCTGCACTAGAAGCTGGCTTGCCACATTTCTTCAGGCTTGCTGTAAGTGCTTTCAAGGGACTTTCTGCGCTGGCTAAAGACTGGTGGATTCTTTTGTAGTACGCAATGGACGGTACACCTGGTGATTTTACGATGCCTGTGACCCTTTGGCCGAATGGAACTTGGGTGGACCCGCTACCTGGAGCTTCGTAGATATTTATGATTATCTATAACTAGAACATTGTAGTTTTCGGACGCTGTCGTTGCGTAGTAATAGGAGGTTCGGGACTTCCTATCTTGTCATGACCAATATTGTTGGCTTGTCCTCGTGGTTCTCTTGTATTAGCAACGTACACAGTGGAAATACGAAGTTGTTCCGTATGCGGAATATATACGGCTGCTCATCGTAATTGTGGACTGTGCCACTGGAGTCCTGGTCTGTGGACACCAATTGAAGGACATTTATACTGATCTTCCACAGGCTCTGAGGCAGCCCTCACACTTTCTCAATCATCCCATCATCCTCTGAGTACTCTCGATCTGAACCCATGGCACCCCGTTCTTCCAAGAAGTTGAAATTTAACAAGAAACAATGTACGTCCTTACATTGAACGGTACCTAGACGCATGATCATGATCCGCTTATAGATTTTACCCCCGACGGCTCACGCCGCGGATGGACTTGCAACATTTGCATCTCAAGGCGCCCCAATCAATTCCATTTCACGACTATGCAAGCCGCAGTTCGACACGAGAATACATCTCATGAACACGCGCAACACATTTCTGAAGTAGAGTGGTGGCAACCACGGGACGATGACGGCTGGGGAACCCTCGAACAGCCTCCGCTAACTTCCGATGGCCTACGCACATGGGAGATGCAGACGCACGTGGATCATGTGTATGATCTAGTGCCGTTCTGGATCCGTGGGGTGGATGCTGCTGAGAGGGGTGACTCGGAGGTGCTAAGGATGGAGGAATTCCTGCAGATGATGGAGGAGAATGGCGGATGGCGGACCTCTGATGAGGTTTGGGGGATGTTGGGAGCTTTGAGGAAGCCGAATCATGAAAAGGGGAGCGATGGATGGGGGCGTAAAGATGATGTGTCTGTTCCCAAGGCTGCCACCGGTACGGACTTGACATTGGGCCACCAGGATAAAGGCTGGGGCGTTACGGAGGAATGGGCAGCCCCCCCTACCAATACTAGTAGCTCTTCTTCCAACCAGGATAAAGGCTGGGGCATTACACAGGAATGGGCAGTCCCCCCTACCAATACTAGTCACTATTCTTCCCACCAGAGACGAGATCTCGGCGGTACGCATCCTTTTGTAGATGACATCGCTCTTCAGGAAGCGGCAGATGAAGATAGGCGCCGAAGGATGAACCACTTTTTTGAAGTGAGTAACCTCCTGCAGGGCTTTGATAGGGACGCAAGTTATTAAACTATTAATTTTATGCTTTTTACAGATGCCGACGGAACAGAAGGTGTTGAAGATTCAGGAGATGATCCGTTACCTTCGCGCCCATCCTGCCTAGCAGTCACTGCCTTAATGCGCTGTTTCTCGTTGTTGTTAACATGCCCTCGTCGTTCGCCGACTCGTTGATGTGAAGTCTTCGTAAGTGACAAGTCAGCCTTCAGGGGCGACTTGTCAAGTTGAAGCTGAAGGATAGGGAGCGAGCTCTTTGACCCTTGCTCGGGGCGAAGTCAAGTTGTCAAACCAAGGGCTACCAGTGGTACATAAAACAATAGTATTCCCGTACGTAAATAAGAGACAGTGGTAAGTGTATGGATGCGAAAGTAACGATGTGAAGTCGCGGATCTATGCAATGTATTGATACCCTATTCCATAATTATTCGAATCCCTGATTCAAAACGCAGGCAGTGATGCACTTTGATTTCAGTCGCAGGTGGCAGGTCATTCTATGAAAAGAATCAAGGGAAAGGGCCAATGAAAATGCATGTCAACTTACCGGACGGGTGAATGTTAGCATGTTGGTAAAACCAGCGCCCGCATAATGCAAACAGGTATTGCCATTTGCGCTGGAAAGTATCGTATTCGGCCTTGTCTTCTAGACTAGGGTAGTCTTCGACAATCAAGTCTCGTCTGACATTGGCATTAAGACGACGTCCCCATTCGTGCAGCGTCCGTGGGTAGTCTACACGTACTACACAAGGATTAGTTATTGACAACGCCATGCAAAGCAAAAGCACTTACGAGCTGCGCGATTTACAACACCCTCGAGCATGAAACGCCCTTCTGAAACCAGCGTTTGCGGTGGTAATGAGCGCTGTGGCACTAGGGAGGTAAGAATTAAGCCACATGTATTGGCGCATGAAATCCTCAGGCCGAAATCTTTTAGTTAGCATGTGGAGTTTTAGAAATGCAAACAGCGTGCTGATAGCCAGAGTATCGCAATTCTGGGAATATTGATGCACTAGCCACAGCTGTTGCATTGCTGGACTTTAGAGCAAAATCGACAAGTTTGAAGTGGCCATGGTAGTGCTTAGAGGCCACATGCTATACGACTGAGCGTAAATCATCAAGATGCCAACACTGGCAATTGATTACACACCTCAAGCATCTCGATGCTAGTAAAAGCATAACAGGCCTTCTTGAAAGAAGTAGTAGGAATTTTGCAGTAATCCATAAGATAAACACGAATGACATCTTGCAGACTCGACCAGCTGCCTTAACTTAATGCATTCCTCAGCTAGAGCCTTTTGTTCTTTTGACAAAGTGAAAGTGTCGACTTCGCAGCTAAACGTGCGAGCAGCCTGAAAGAAATCAAGTCTCCACAAACATGCAAGAGTACTGACTAAGGAAAGCTAAAAATAACACTACATAGCCTATTTATGGTTTTTACTTGGCTTTGCCAAACACTGTTTCATTCGGTTATTATATCAGCCTTGGTACACCGATCTCTGGCTGCCACTGCATGTGACCACAGTTCATCGTTGCCATAGGAGACATAGGATCTCTGATCTATAGCGATGTCCTTCAAATTTTGCGGAATGTGCAGATGTTTGTACTGGGACCACTGCGCCTTAGTATCCGTTGTGCCACCAGTGTTCAAGAATGCAACACTTCAAGTTGCGACCGGCTCCGGACGAAGTATTGCCTTCCAGGAGTAGTACACCCATGTGTTATCATAGAACTGGACATTAACACTTTTGGTGGTTTAGCCTGGGAGCACGAGATGTTTGTGCGAAACTTTGTTGTGGTAAATATTTGATGTTCCAACGTCGAGCAATACTATATCTGAACACTTGCACCCATGCTAAGGATGGAACAGATGTTGGGAGATGTAACTCCTCGAAGGATATGGAGAAGCATAGCTGATGGAAATGCGTTAAGATGGCGCTAACGCCGCCACTCACGCTCTAGCATCGACCTCATTGTTAATTTATAGATTGTCCGGGGACGCGTGCATGTCGTATCGATATCATTACTGAAATCGGTTTACCACTCACATTTTGAAACCACGAAGAATAGCGTATTGCACGGATACATCTTTACTAGCCGCCCATGCACTGGTTTGGTCCTCGACGTTTCAGCTTGCTCGCGTGCCAGGAATATCGATCACGATTCACCGCAACACCAGCATCCGCTTCAAGGGCTGTATCAGGCGATATGCAAGAGTGCGGGCACGCACGGTACTATCAGATCGCTAGTATCATATTGTCATGCAGATTGGCCTTGCCATGGGCCCGATCATATTTATCATCCAGTGCACATTCCTCCTCGTGCCTGGCCTCACCCAAATCATGCACTAGTAAAGGGCTTTGACAAAGCATATCCGCGGTAAATATGGATGACTTGGCCAGCGAGGTGACTCGTCCGTGGTGTAGTTCTCAGCATTATGCATGGCCTGAGTCACACTGGTCTCCCCTATGGTTACGCTTGTGCAGCGCATGGGCGCCGTGCTAAATCCTATGTCAGACTCGGATGCATCGCATCGTACTGGCGTGCAAGACATGCATAAAGACTACCATTCCTCTTCGTGAGACCCTACAAAGATTTTCCAAGTCACATTATTATTTATTCTTCATATTCTTCACGATGCGCTTCTCAATTGTTGTTATTGTATTCATTTCAATGATGCTGGGCATCATTGGAGCCAATGCACACCCCATATGTAAGCAAATTGTGAACTTCTTCATTCTCGAGTCTAATGATGACGTAGTAGTGGTCCGTGGCACTGATGGTATTAACGGTCAGGCTACGGGCATGCCACCACGACGTGTCGAGCCGTCAATGACTGTAGCTGCAAATGGCCTACTCTCAGCTTGACTGGGAATTTTCTGGACACCGCAATGAATTCTCTTGACAATCATTACTATACCTAGTTTGCGCCATAAACGATATTCCATTTCAATTATAATCCCTACCGAGTCTAGCTAGCTTGGAGAAATCACCATCCCTTACCTAAATTAACTAATGCATAATCACCGCTCTCAGTGAATGCATCTGCTCCAGTAATTTATTTGTTCTCTTTCGTCGGGATTTGGGACTTTCTCATGGCTACAAGGAGAATCGGATCGTCTTTCTCGCGGATTGATGGCGTCAGATGCTCTGTATAGCAAGGATGCCAGATCCATAAATGCTGTGATTACCCCTTGAATTCTGCATTACTATCAATTGCAATTGGTTATTAGCATCATGGGGCGCGGAGGTACTTGTGACAGTAGCTTTGCAACGTAGGTTTGATTATGGACGTATCAATTGCTATAGGGAATATTTGAATACCAAATTCCGTTTGGAGCTTCCCGTAACTTGGAGTTTTCCTCTGGTTTCTTGTGCCGCGTCAGACATATACAAGAGTTCGAGCACATACTATCATCTCGCTAGTGGACTGTGATGCTATTTATGTGCCTCGGCTTGAGATCGTCGAAAGGGCTCGACTATCGCCAATTGTGCACACCAACTTTTCCTTCGGTTTGCGCTGAGTGCGAGTGCTCTGCCACAAACCAAACTGTCAGGGGTGTCTGTCAGAAATTAAGGTTGCAAGCATAATAGTAAAGAATGCTGGCTTGACAATTTCAAAATGAACTCAGGACCGCAGCCGTAGGCGGTGGCTAGTGGTGCTACTATCCCCAGAGTATGTGCACGTGCATGTGCATCAGCATTAAGCTCGTAACCTTGTGTCCCGAAACACATAAAAGGCGCGATTTTTCTTCAATCAAACCCAGCAATATTTGCTTTCAATCTTCCGCTCCCTCACAATGCGCGTCTCATCTGTTGTTCTTATATCTGTCGGAATGATGCTGACCGTCATCGGAGTTGCTGCTTCCCCAATCGCTGGGGCCTCCGTCGAGAGTGAGTGTAATCGAATTATGAGCTAGTTCCGGCCCCGAGTCTGAAGATGATGCGGTAGATGTCCAGCGTGAAGTACCAAGAGAACCAGGAAGGGGAGGATATAACAGGGAAGCAAGGGAACCAGGAAGGGGAGGATATAATAGGGAAGCGAGGGAGCCAGGAAGGGGAGGATATAATAGGGAAACGAGGGAACCAGGAAGGGGAGGATATAATAGGGAAGCGAGGGAACCAGGAAGGGGAGGATACAACAAAGAATGAGCATCTTGGACGAATAGTCGAATACCGAATCCTGCTTGGAGGTGCCCATAACCTTAGTGTTCCTTGTGCTGCGTCAGATAATATACATGAATTCGAACACGTACTATCGCTTCGTTATGAGATTGTAATGTAAGCAATAAGCTTTGGATCGCTGGAAGGGCCTAACCGTGGCTATCACCGGTTTCGGAGCGCTCGGCCACAACCAAACTATAGGCATTTTCAAGTATGATGGCAAAGCTCGGTGACCTGACAACATCAAAATGCAATCAAGTCTGCAAGAATAGGCGGTGGAGTATTTAGAGCATATGGAATGCATTGAGCCTGTAAGCTTGTCACGAAAAAAACATCAAACAAGTACGGTTCGCCTTCAATCAAACTCAGAAAGATTGATATGTTTTCTGTAGGCACGGCGGGCAACGTGAAATGGCGGGAGAGGCTGATGGCGGGATGGCGGGATGGTTGGGGACTGACACTAGATTATGACATAATACAGCGGGCAGACTTCCCGGCACTTTCCGGACAACTGCTGGCAGACCTGCCCCCCAGACTTTAGCACGGAGTCTGTGACTTGTCTGTATAGACAGGCCTCACGCAGACTGGCCAAATCCCGCACTTTCTGTCGGAAGCGGAGATTTAGGTCGTATAGCGATTTCGAAGGGCTGACAAATCCATCATGATGAATTTGTTCTTGCTTTGTAAGTAAATTCGGCTATTTGTCTCCAACCTTGTACACCGATCTCTGGCCATGCTGCCACTGCATGTGACCATAGTTCATCATTGCTATAGGAGACATAGGATCTCTAATCTATATTAGTAGCGGTGTCCTTCAATTTATGTGGAATGCGCAGATTTGTGTACTGAGACCACGCCTTATCCGCTGTACCCCTAGTATTCAAGAATTCAACACTAACTTAATTTGCGACCGGCTCCGAAGTAGAAACCGACATGACTGTTGCCTTCCAGGAGTAGTACACCCATTTTTTTTTATCTTAGAGTGATTTATAGCACTGGACATTAACACTCGTCTGGTAGTTCAGCCTGGGAGCACGAGAAGTTTGTGCGAAGCTTCGTTCTGATAACTATCTGGTGTTTCAATGTTGAGCAATATGTCTGAACACTTGTACCCATGCTAAGGATGGAACAGATGTTGGGAGATGTAACTCCTCGGAGGATATGGGGAATCATAGCCAATGGAAATGCGTCAAGATGGCGCTAACGCCCTAGCATCGACCTCATCGTTAATTTATAGATTTTCCAGGGACACGTACATGTCGTATCGATATTATTACCGGAATCGGTCTACCAGTTACATTTTGAAGTCATGAAGAATAGCATATTGCACGGATACATTTTACTAGCCGCTTTGCTTTGTCCATGCACTGGTTTGGTCATCGACATTTCAGCTTGCTCGCGTACCAGGGATATTGATCATCGCAACACCAGCATCCGCTTCAAGGGCTGTATCAGGCAATATGCAAGAGTGCAGGCACACACGGTACTATCAGATCGCAGATTGTCATGCAGATTGCTCGCCATGGGCCCGACCATATTTATTATCCAGTGTACATTCCTCCTCGTGCCTGGCCTCGCCCAAATTATACACCTTTGACCAAGCATAGCTGCGGCCAATATGGATGACTTGGCCAGTGAAGTGAGGTGACTCGTCCGTGGTGTAGTTCTCAGCCTGATCACAGTATCCATGGCCCGAGTCACACTAGTCTCCCCTATGGTTACACTCGTGCAGCGCATACCATAATACATGGGTGCCGTGCTAAATCCTATGTCAGATACATCGCATCGCACCGGCGCGCAAGACATGTATAAAGGGCACCATTCGTCTTCGTGAGACCCTACAAAGATTTTTCAACTCACATTATTGTTCGTTCTTCCTGATTCTTCACGATGCGCATCTCGACTGTTGTTCTTGTATTCATCTCAATGATGCTGGGTATCATTGGAACCAATGCACACCCCACATGTGAGCATAATTGTGAACTTCTTCCCTCCCGAGTCTGATGATGACACAGCAGTAAATGGTGGATGTGTTCTTGCTGCGGCCGTTTCGTGTGCGCCACCCCGTCAGTGACTGTAGTTGCAAATGGCCTACCCCCAGCTTGACTGGGAATTTTCTGACACCGAAATGAATTCTCTTGACAATCATGACGATACTTCCTATGCGTAGTTTGCACCATAATCGATATTCCATGTTAATTATTCTACCGAGTCTAGCTAGCTTGGAGAAATCAGCCATTATCATAATCGATAGTCCTTATCCCTTACCTAGCACACGATCATCCCTCTTAGCGAGTGCTCCTGTAATCTATTTGTTCTCTTTCGTCGGGAGTTTGGACTATCTCATGGTTGCAAGAAGAATCGGATCGTCTTTCTCACGGATAGATGGCGCCAGATGCCCTGTACAGCAAGAATGCCAGATCCATATATGCCGTGATTAAGTAGCCCTGAATTCTGCATTAATATCAGTTGCAATTGCCTATTAGCACCATGGGGCGTGGACATACCTGTTATAGTAGCTTTGCAACGTAGGTTTTATTGTGGACGTATCAACTGCTATAGGGAATACTTGAATACTACATTCGGTTTAGAGCTTTTCCTACATGCTCACCTTGGAGTTTCTCTGTTTTCCTGTGCCGCGTCAGACATATACAAGAGTTCGAGCACGTACTATCGTCTCGCTAGCGGACTGTCATGCCAGTTCTGTTCCCATTGCACGTTCACGGACGTGGCAAGCCAGACCATTGCTGCTCTTAGTACGTGACCGGGTGTTTAACACAGGGCGACCATCGAAAGGCAGACGGCAGATGCACTGCGATAGCACGTCGACAGACAGAGTGCACAGCCGACGGGTGAGAGACTCAATGGAAAGGGCAGACCATGGAACACGCGAACAATCCAGGTTGTCACAAGCATAACAGCCTGGTGGGGGGCGCCGCAGCACCTCAGTGACCTGATCACCATACACGCGGGCGAAGTGTGCAGACAGGAGAGGAACCAATCGGCGGTCGCAGCCAGAAGGAAGGACAACATCTGAGAGAGCTTCGTCGATGGCCAAGCAAGGCAAAGCCATCAATCCTGTGCGAGCCTGAACAAAGTGTCCTACGATAACATTAACATGATCAGCCTTTTTCCGGCCCCTTCCACCAGAGGGAAGCAACCGGGCAGCATCGGCGAGCACAGGCCCGAGGAGACCCGACAGGTGATTCGCAATAGTCTGCTCACTCTGACTGAACCAAGCTGGATACTCATCTGACTTTGACACAAGGGTGGAAACAGCCGCTTCCAGGGGGGGGGGGCACACAGACGTCTGATAACGCACGGAATAGAGACAAGCTGAGCGAAAACCAAGAGTGGACGCTCGTTCAAAAAGCGGTGGTTCGGGAGTAACCGCGGTAGAAACCGGAAATCTCGAAAGGTCAGGTTGTCCGACCGTCCGAGCCGGGTCCGCCTGCCCTGGACATCCTGGACGTCCCGAATGAACAGGTCAGCAAATTCCCAACATTCGGAAGTTCCCGGAAAACATCCTGATAACCATCAATATCATTGCAGATATGAAAACCATGACGAGCGCTGAGATCACGTACGAGACTACGATATGTGTGCAAAGAGGAAAGAACCCTTCACAACCCGGATGGTCAAAATGGAAAGGGCATCCCGTTCCGTCGAAGGGACGTTCTTGAGGTTGTAGGATACATTGATTGGGATAAGGATGGCGCAACATGTAAAAGCGATGGCCGAGTAAAGTGATCGGGTCATGCGAGTGAATCAACCAACTGGAAATTGTAATGAGCCTGAGTGAGATAGTTCGAAATTTTTGGCTCACTGATGCCAACGGTTGTTGTCCAGACAGATGCTTTCGTCAGGCCAGGGTCGGCCCGTTCTACTTGCACCTGAGTAGATGGCACCCGTTGTGCAGGAGTTATGCCCGGAGGGCCATGGGTAGTATCTAGTATTGCCAACACGATTTACTACAACTGGGACAGCCAGAACGTCCCGAACAGACGGGAGGCTGGCATGGACGGACGGACGGACGAACGAAACTTTCGAATTCCCTGGTTCCCTCTAACCGTGAGAACTCAAGCAACAGCGGGATCGTGGGAATCTGATGCAAGACGTTTGCAGAGAAAGGGCCAATTGAGTACTAGGATTTCTGGCTGCCACTGCATGTGACCATAGTTCATCATTGCTATAGGAGACATAGGATCTATAATCTATATATATTAGTAGTAGCGGTATCCTTCAATTTCTGTGGAATGCGCAGATTTGTGTACTGAGACCACGTGTAACATGGTCAGACCGCCGCCACGCATAACCGTTACACCAAAAGGTGAAATACTGAAAGCTTAGCTTTCAGTATCAGCGATGGTATATGTACTGATTATGAGAACTCAGGTAAGCCAGCGTGCTTACACCACGCCTTATCTGCTGGCTGGGGCTGGGAGCACGAGAAGTTTGTGCGAAGCTTCGTTCTGATAACTATCTGGTGTTTCAACATTGAGCAATATGTCTGAACGTTGAACACTTGTACCCATGCTAAGGATGAATTGGATGTTGGGAGATGTAACCCCTCGGAGGATATGGAGAATCATAGCCAATGAAAATGTGTTAAGATGGCGCTAACGCTCTAGCATCGACCTCATCGTTAATTTATAGATTCTCCAGGGACACATACATGTCGTATCGATATCATTACCGGAATTGGTTTACCACTTACATTTTGAAGTCATGAAGAATATCATATTGCACGGATACATTTTACTAGCCGCTTTGCTTTATCCATGCACTGATTTGGTCATCGACGTTTCAGCTCGCCCGCGTACCAGGAATATCGATCATCGCAACACCAGCAATATGCAAGAGTGCAGGCACACACGGTACTATCAGGTCGCAGATTGTCACGCAGATTGCTCGCCATGGGCCCGACCATATTTATTATCCATGTACATTCCTCCTCGTGCCTGGCCTCGCCCAAATTATGCACCTTTGACCAAGCATAGCCGCGGAAAATATGGATGACTTGGCCAGTGAGGTGAGGTGACTCGTCCGCGGTGTAGTTCTCAGCCTGATCACAGTATCCATGGCCCGAGTCACACTAGTCTCCCATATGGTTACACTCGTACAGCGCATACCATAATAAATGCGCGCCGTGCTAAATCCTATGTCAGATGCATTGCATCGCACCGGTGTGCAAGACATGCATAAAGGCTACCATTCGTCTTCATGAGACCCTACAAAGATTTTTCAACTCACATTATTATTTGTTCTTGATTCTCCACGAATCACGATGCGCATCTCGACTGTTGTTCTTGTATTCGTTTCAATGATGCTGGGTATCGTTGGAGCCAATGCACACCCCACATGTAAGCCTAATTGTGAACTTCTTCCCTCCCGAGTCTGATGATGACACAGTAGTGGTTCGTGGATCTGTTGGTGTTAGCGCTTCGAGTATGCCACCTACCCAGCCGTCAGCGACTGTAGCTGCAAATGGCCTACTCCCAACTTGACTGGAAATTTTCAGGACACCGCAATGAATTCCCTTGACAATCATGATAATACTCGCTATACGTAGCTTGCGCCATAATCGATATTCCATGTTAATTATAATCCCTACCGAGTCTAGCTAGCTTGGAGAAATCAGCCATTATTATCGATAGTCCTTATCCCTTACCTAATACACGATCACCGTTCTTAGTAAATGCTCCTGTAATTCATTTGTTGTCTTTCGTCGGGAGTTTGGACTGTCTCATGGCTGCAAGAAGAATCGGATCGTCTTTCTCGCGGATAGATGGCGCCAGATGCTCTGTACAGCAAAGATGCCAGATCCATAAACGCCGTGATCAGCCCTGAATTCTGCATTACTATCAGTTATAATTGGTTATTAGCATCATGGGGCGCGGACGTACTTGTAATAGTAGCTTGCAACGTAGGTTTGATTGTGGACGTATTAATTGCTATAGGGGATACTTGAATCGTACATTCCGTTTAGAACTTCCCGTACACGCTCACCTTGGAGTTTCCCTTTGTTTTCCTGTGCCGCGTCAGACATATACAAGAGTTCGAGCACGTACTATCGTCTCGCTAGCGGACTGTTATGCCAGTTCTGTTCCTCGGCTTGAGATCGTCGAAAGGGCTTGACTATCGCCAATTATTCTGCCACAACCCAAACTGTCAGGGGTGTCTGTCACAGATTAAGGTTGCAAGCATGATGGTAAAGAATGCTGGCTTGACAACTTCAAAATGAACTCAGGACCGCAGGCGTGGGCGGTGGCTAGTGGTGCTACTATCCCCAGAGTATGTGCATGTGCATCAGCATTAAGTTCGTAACCTTGTGTCCCGAAACACATAAAAAGCGCGATTTTTCTTCAATCAAACCCAGCAATATTTGCTTTCAATCTTCCGCTCCCTCACAATCCGCGTCTCATCTGTTGTTCTTATATCTGTCGGAATGATGCTGACCGTCATCGGAGTTGCTGCTTCCCCAATTGCTGAGGCCTCCGTTGAGAGTGAGTGGGATTGAATTATGAGCTAGTTCCGGCCCCGAGTCTGATGATGACGCGGTAGATGTCCAGCGTGAAGTACCAAGAGAACCAGGAAGGGGAGGATATAACAGGGAAGCGAGGGAACCAGGAAGGGGAGGATATAATAGGGAAGCGAGAGAACCAGGAAGGGGAGGATATAACAGGGAAGCGAGGGAACCAGGAAGGGGAGGATATAATAGGGAAGCGAGAGAACCAGGAAGGGGAGGATATAACAGGGAAGCGAAAGAACCATTACAAAAGGAGGATATAATAGGGAAGCGAGGGGGAGAGGAGGATACAACAAAGAATGATTATCTTGGAGAAATAGTTGAATGCCGAATCCCGCTTAGGGGTGCCCGTAACTTTAGCTTTCCCTGTACTGCGTCAGATAATGCACATGGATTCGAGCACGTACTATCGCTTCGGGATGCGATTGTAATGTAAGCAATGTGCTTCGGGTCGTTGAAAGGGCCTAACCGTGGCTATCGCCAGCTTCGGAGCGCTCGGTCACGACCAAAATGGTTTAAGGACATTTTCCAGTATGATGACAAGCTTGGTGACCTGACAACATCAAAATGGACTCTAGTCCGCAGGAATACTAGGTGGTGGAAGTATCCAGGACATTTAGAATGCATTGAGTACGTAAGCTTGTCGCGAAAGAAAACATGAACAACTTGTACGGTTCGCACTCAGAAAGAATTTCCTCCAAGTTTTTGCTCCTTCAGAGTCACAATGCGTGTCTCAACTGTTCTTGTATCCGTCGCAATGATGCTGAGGGTCATCTGAGCTAACGTCTCCCCGATTGCTGATACAGAGAGTGAGTGTATTGAGTTATGTGTTGTCTCCAGCCACGGGTCTGATGATGCGATAGATTTCTGGCGTGAAGCTGGTATGGAAGTAAGGGAAACGTATATTGTCACGACATGCACATCGCCTGCCGCGGTGACTGCTAACGAGGCATGACTGAGACATGCACGAAACCAAGACGCTATGGTACTGGCAAAATTCTAGATTTGAAGAGGATGTACGTAGTTTTTTTTTTCAGAATAGTAACCGCGGTACCTTCTCACAGCCTTTACGTGTAGTCCGCACGCCAGTCCACTGGACATGGCGGTCCTGACACAGCTTGTGCTGCGGAAAGGGTGCTGAGCGCCGCTTGCTTTCGAGGCCATTTTTAAGATCAAGCTGTTCGGTGTCGCTTCCATCATGCAACCGTCGGATTACATACAATAGTTGCCTATAGCAACTACAAGGTCCTCATTTGTTTACTACAGCCATGAAGTTGTGTAGGGACCATACACAGCTTGCATCAGGAATGTAGTATGCATCCACGTTGGCAGTCGAGCGATTAATTGTTATCGAAGTTTCCTTTGTGGTTGTAGCTATGCCAGAGCTGTGTCTGTGACAAGCCGTCGGGGTAGCGCCCCTAAAGGCACGTGATGGATGGAGTATAAGAGTGGCACCCATTGGAGTCGCGCTTGGACACAGTGCTTACTTACTCAACTCACAATTGACCATAACCCCCATCGTATCTTGTATGTCTCAGTCTCAGCTACCCTTGCCAGATGGTTGGATCCAGGAGTATGACTCTCAACAGAAGCACCCATTCTGGGTAAGCACCACTGATCTCTCTTATCAGATTGAGTTCTGACCCTTCTACAGGTTGATACAACGGCAAAGCCACCACGGGCAATATGGGTGCACCCCTATGAAGACGAGCAGTTCCTTTCTGAGAATCCAGATATCAAAGCAAAAGTAGAAAAGCTCAAAGGAGAATCTTTGGACGAGCCCCCTCCGTACGAAAAGCGACGTCATTCATTCAGTGGGGGAGAGGCGGCCGGCCCACTTCACACCAATGCCAAGTCTTCCGGGAGTGCAGTCTCGCCATCAATCGACGAGCGCAATGAGGAGCGAAAACGCGGGATGTTCGGGAAGCTGAAAGATAAGGCTATTGGTACGAAGGAAGAGCGCGAGGCACACAAGAAGCAAAAAGCTGAAGAACGTGCGCGTGAGGAAGAGCTGCGTCGTGAGGCACGGAGACGAAATTTGGAGGAACGTGCTGCGTACATGCAGCAACATGGTGGTTATCCGCCGTACGGTGGTTATGGTTACCCAGATTACTCGGGCGGCTCTTATGGTCAGAGTCGGTATGGCCCACCTGCAGGTGACCCATATGGATACAATGACGGTCAGTATGGAAGAGCGTCTGGAAGTCGGCGTGGAGGGTTTGGAGGGGGAATGGCATTACCTTTATTGGGTGGATTGGCAGGTGGACTTTTACTTGGGGATATGCTTGACGGAGGATTTGGCGGTGGTGGATTTGGTGGCGGAGGATTTGACGGAGGATTTGGTGGTGGGGGTTTCTTTTAATTTTGTTATGATATACCCTACGATGTATAGCATGTACATTAATCGTGACATCGAATGTGGGAACTATGGTACTTTGTATTTTGAGGAGGGACTCGACGTAGCTAGCTACGCATCTTGAAGAGCAACGTGCACGAGCAACTTTCATGGCTAGGGTGCTGCCTTCATCGCTAACCCCGCACATATGCATCCTTCCTTCTCAAGACCTTGAAGAGCTCCTTAAGTCTTCTGCTCTACCTTCCCTGCATCATATACTGCAGTCCTTTTCGCCATTACCACAAGGTCTGTTTGATTATTTTCGACCAATATTATCATTCAATCCCTTCAAAAAGTCACAACCCGTACCACTGCTTTGACCACTGTGCCCCATGCATCATTTGCACTTCGTTTTTCTGACTTGACAGAAATCGAGGCTGCTTGTCGCGAGGATGAGGAGCAACGCGCCACCCGAACTATTGATTGGATCGGTGACCGTATCGGTAAACGCTGCGCCAAATGGGTAGATGATTTTGAAAAGATGAATGATCAGGATGTTGCAAGAACACCTTGGTGGGATGAATTGAGACGTTGTGCCGAAGGAGATCACATCCCGGCTAGAGATGAGGGATGGAATCATCCAATGTCAAGTCAGTATTTCTACTTCACCTTTCTATTGCGCCTCACAGTCTTGCTGCAGTAATATTAGCAGTCTCTACTACAGCCCCAAACCCGTTGCAAGCAATCACGGCCTTGCATTCCCGAACATTAGACTTTCCATCATGGGTAGACGTCACACATCTCATTTACACCCTTATAATTCATCCCAAGAACTCTCCGCTTTCTGACGAAGAGTGCGTATTCACTGCTCATTACTGTTCTTGCTCTCATAACATACCTTTTCAGAGCAGGTGCACTCTTCAATGCCGTTAGGAAACAATATGGTCTACACACATATCTTCTCTCTCTTGAGCTTCCATCCCCTCCGCCACCCCCCGTATCCATCCCAGCACTCGTTCCCCGATTACCCCCACCTACTATTTCCAATGGTTCTGCTGATACCGTGCGCCCTGACCTAAAGACCACACAGACGGTTCCATTGAATACTCTCAGAATGTCTGAACAAGACATCCAACAAACAGCCAGATTTGCGCGAGAATTCGTCACCATGAACTTGGTCCCATGGATGGAGAAGTGCGTGATAGAATGGAACGAGGCGGTGAGTATCAACAAATCGCCTCCGCATACTTACTGAGTTCCTTCACCAGTATTCCTCGAGCCGAAGACTACCGTCACGTTTGTTTTCATCAACACGTCGGCTTTTCGGAACTTCGTCTACAACCCCAATGCACGCTTCTACACCTTCTCTGCCCGGACGTTCCAGTACATACACCGCACCTCAGTCCTCAGTATCTGGTTCCACCATCCCTCCACCATCCCAGCAACGACGCTTAGCTGAGTTTGCAACAATCCTTGGTGACTTCAAACTAGCAGTTGCCATTTGGGAATCGTTGCGGAAGGAAGGGAAAGGAGGCTCCGTAAGTATCGTATCTTATAATATACTGCTGCTATCTAACAAGGTTGCTCTTAGGATATCCTCCCTTTGCTCATTGCTCCCTCGCCAGCCGTGCAGCTCCACGTCTCTCATGCTCTGACTACCATCCACCCCCAAAACGCTGAGCTTCATTCACACGTACAATTACGCGCCTTGCTATACGCTGTGCGATGGGAATCGACACTAACCATTGGTGACTTTCTAAGTGATACCCTCGAGGGCGAGCGATGGCTTGTCTGGGCTGCGGGCAACGTGCGTTTGTTACCATTTCTTGCCCTCGATAAGTGCACCAATTGACTGTCAGGATTTAAGGCAGAAGAACCACCAGCAGCTCTCTTATTAGCTCATGCCGCACTCCTCAGCGTTCGGAAGAATGCAAGACGGCGAGCAGCGCTGTGGTATTTCTTCGCTGCAAATCGCCTGGAGAAATGTGGTATTGTACGTTGTCTCGATTCCGAATAGTAATTTTACCGATTCCCAAACGCGTTTCTAGAAACCGCTAACTATGTATTTCCTTCGGAGAGCCCATGAATTATCCATCTCCCGACCGGACAAACTCTTGTCTCCATCATTCTGGATGTCCGAAAACAAACAACCATCAGACTTTGAAGGTTTTGATGCTGTCATGTCTGGTATTGAACATCCACTTGGTGAGTGTCTTTCTACCGCTATCTTCTTATTTCCTTGATATAGAGTATCTCTTAGGAAGATTGCTGTATACCACTGGGGACGTATCAGGCGCTGTACGCCACTTTTTGGGCCTCTTGCGGTGGTCTTCGGCATCGTCCTCTCCACTTGCTCAGCTCTCCAGTCATACTGTGGACATTACGAAGGATCCTGGTAACTCAGACAAAGTGTTCCTTGAGGACTTCCAAGTTGCGATTTCGGTAATGTACATCCTTCCGTCATTTTCATAACCCTCTGACACCATTTGCCAGCACTTGAAGTCAGTGTCCGGGGAGCAAGCACGCCTTGCGGATGTCAAGCTCCCACTTCGTTTCGTTGTGCCCTCGCAGACCTGCGTTCGTTTAGCTCGAGATTCTGTGGAAGGCGAACAGTCCGAGTGGGAGACTCGGGAAGAGATTTGGTCGTCCTTCTGGAAGCACCGAGGCAAGGAGAAGCTTGAACGAAGTGGAAATGCTGCTGTGGAAGGTAATTATATCTGTCGTTATGCTTTCCGACTTTTATCAACTGATCTTTTGCACAGAGGCATTCTGGGTTGATATCACTCTGCACAATCCCCTCGAAACGGAAGTCACCTTGGCCAATCCAACGGTGATCGTCGAATCGTCTTCTGGAGATGCTGCCTGGATTAGAGATAACATCACAATCGAGACCGCCAAGGATACTATTCTCTATGCCAAAGAATCGCGCACAGTTAGTGGTAACAGTCGGGTCTTCCTGCTTAGGCTGACCGTAATCCAATTCAGATCTCCATCGCCATTAAGGCTTCCAAACCAGCATCACTGGTTATCACAGGTGTCGCCTATGACTTCCTGGGTCTTCTTCCAACAGTGGAATCGCTAGCACGCCGCGGTCGCAGGCTGCAGGATACACCTCAGCAGAGACAGACAATCACATACGCCCCTGACAAATTCTTGAAGCTCAACGTAGAAGAGGCCAGCCAAGAGCTCGCAGTGGCATTTGTGGACGATGGACCGTTTGTGCTTGCTGAAGGAGAGTGTAAGCGGATGAAACTGTGGATTTCGAATGCTGGTTCGAGGGATATTGGGGAGGTGTGGGTTGTACCTGGTCCTGAAGATCAGGTCTGGATTCAGCCTTTGGATAGCGAGGAAGGTATGTTTGATTGCTGGTTTATTACGTTCGCAAGTATTTATGTTGAGCTAGGCTCGACGACGGGCATAGCATGGAAAACGTGGCAGTCCGATAATAAGGTTGTTCCACCGAGACCATACAGTATACCCCTCGTAGAGAAGCTCGTGGCGGCTGGGAGCACCGAAGTCACGGTTGTTTTACATGCAGGTCGCAAGCAGAAACAGAACTTGTCGTTTCTATTCATTTACCGCGAGGTGAGTCGCTATAACATCCCTCATCCTGCTTTTGTTGTGTTGAGATGTTTGATACAGGCAGAAGGCAGCCCGTTTCATTGCACGCGTGTCACGAGAAGTTATGAGGTCGTCCAATGTCTCCAGATCTCTACCGCCTCGCGCCCAAGTCATTCGCCAGATCATTCGTTCTCATTAAGCCTAGACCTGACCAATATCTTATCTTCGAGTAATGTGGAGATCAATCAAGTGACAACGATCAGCGCTAACTGGTCATGTTCTTCCTTCGTTGAACTCTGGGCGTAAGTGCAAACAAATTTTTCCTGTTCCTGACACTAATCGCATTCTAGTGAGCCTTTGCGTCCATCTCAATCAACGCGTATATTGTTTAGCGCCACCTCCACCGGCGATTGTACGAGTGTGAATGCAGTCTCAGCATTCGTCTCGAGGAAAATGACCAGCGTGCTGCATGGTCAAGTTATCACGCCTGACGATCCCCCGCCGTTGGAGCTCCTCTGCGGACATGTCTCCCAGGTACAGATCTCCCTCTCATCACAAGTCATCATTCATCGGCCTTCCACAGACATTTGCCTATGAACCATTCGTCGCCCACTTTATCATGGACGCACGGCGAATAGCCGTCTCTCGCACGCTCGCTCAATCACACCCCCGAATACCTACGTCATCTTACTCCAGTATCTTCCCATTGTACAACCCCCTCTCTGTAGATTTCGTCATCTTCTGGAAGATCCCTTCTGAGCAGCGTTTCGGTCATATCCTTGTTTCCGAGATTGCTCTAGGTGCAAGTCATGCTGTACTTCGAGAAGTGCTCGAGGGTGTGGAGAGCGCCAAAGTCAAGCGAAGCATGTATGCTGAGACGCAACGGGAGAAAACTGAGATGCTGCAAGCTATCCGGGATAGCGAGTGGAACGCTGAGATGAACCCGGTTGTTGTGATTGTGAAGGATGGTTTGGTGATAGAGCATGATTTTAGCCAGGGGTGAGCGCTCCTTCTTCATATCCAGTAACGGTTGTTGAGCAGCTGTTGATTAGTGTTTGCATGGTTCCCGTGGAGTTTACGATTCGTAACCATTCCTTGTCCCATCCGTCGCGCTTTGTCCTCAGACTTGACCATCGTCAACAATCGTCGTAAGTGATTTTTTGCCCCATATACTGTCAACTGACAGCGTCTGTAGACATCATTTCCCTGCACCATATTGTGGCCGGATGACCTTCAGGGGGCTTTTGGCGCCGTTGCAGACAACATCTGTCCTCGCCCAGTTGTGCGCTACCCGACCAGGAACGTACGTACTGTCAGGCTGGCGGCTGGAGACTGAGGTAGGCGAACCTGACACAGAGGGTGGATTATGGCAAGTAAGGCACCATTATGAGCAGAGGGCGGTTACGGACGACTCGTCATCAATCGTTGTATCGGATCTCTCGCGACCATAATGTATGCATAGGGAATATATTACGGATATAACCAAACAGCGTAAGTATGACATGCACGATGTGTATACAAGATAAGGTGATCAATCTCTTTCTACCTTGGCTGGTCTCGCCCTTTCTCTCGCTCCCGTTCCTCAGCCTCCTTCCTTGCTGCGGCGAGTCTCATTTTCTTCATTTTGATATTCATGAAGGTCTGCGCAGTGATGTGGTCAGCCTGTATCAAATGACCGGATGAGTCAAGGAGAACTTACGCCGACCGTAAACTGAATCATATTGAAGAAAGGCACCCACAGCTGTTTGGCCGTTAGTTTCAAGTAATCATGGACATGGTCGGAGGACATACTTCGACAGGAATGAATTGTTGTGCAATGGTCATGGACAATGGGGAAA